AAGCGAAGAAGAAGAAGAGGGAGGAGGAGGAGAAGTGGGGAAAATGCTGGTTACACTGTAGGTACCGGCTGTTGGCCGCCTTGCGACCGAGACATCGAGCAGGTTAGGTTATCGCTAGGGAGACCCAAAGGAGAGACCCCCGCAGGGCCCTGCCAGCTGAGACGGTCACAAGGCGGTCACAAAGCCCTCGGCACTCTCGCCGTCAAGTCCGTCGAGGCCGTTGTCCGTTGGTGGCGAGACCCAAGTCATCGTCCCACGAGGCAGGGGCAGGACAGCTGGCGTTTCGGCTGGTGAGCGTTCTAGCGAGCCCGTCTAACGCATCGGCCCACTAGAGCGGTCACAAAGCGAAACCCCTGCTCGGCTCGGCGCGGTGCTGCGTGTTGTTGCCGTTGTTGCCCGTCTGCCTGTCCCGGTGAAGGGGAGGCGCGTTGGCGCACGCTGGCGCTGGTCCCGGTGTCCTGCGACAAACAACGGAAAGTTCACTCATCCCCGACCCGATGGATTAGCCGACGCGCGATGTTTTGCCGACGGCCGAGAGTTCGCACGAAATCGGAGCGCCTGTTCATGCTTCTCATGCAGGAAAGCTGGCCGGGCCCGACAGCCACTCCAATTGGCGAGGCGAGACCTAAGCGTCATCATCCCATTGGCCCCTCCTTCATGGCGGTCCCCATGGCACGCCAGAGGACGGGGCGCGGAGCTCGTGCCTGTAGCTTCCCATCAAAGTTGTTACAGATTACCGGGTTTTTAAATTTTCCATTTTTCGCTTTTGGCGTTGCCCGGCTCTCTAGGCCTTGCGTGTATGCCAAATTGCTTTCTCATGTTTCAATGCACTGGAAAATCAAAATAGGTTTTTCCGCATGTGACCTAACCAGGCCTTGCCAAACGAGATCCGCCGTCTGCCGGTGGTGGTTGTTGCCATTCCCGCCGCCTCCTGGATCGCTTTGTTCGACGTCAACTGAGTTAAATGACAAATAATGACCCCTCGTCTTCCTGCGCCATCGTCCCATTGAGCAGAAAAGTGTGTGCGCAGCACAATGCACTTCCCCGCGCGACGCCGCGGTGCCGCGGTGCCGCGGTGCCTCGGTGCGCGATCGGACTCACGGGCTCCCCTACCCTCATCCCCCGTACCGGGCGAGGCGCAGCAAGGCGGCTAGGCGCGGCAGCCAGCGCCGCGTGCCGCGTGCAGCCCGCATGACTTGTTGGCCACGGCCAGAGCCTGGCGGCGAGCAGGCTGATTCCGAACACTGCTTTCGTCACTGCGTCTCTCTCGCACGCATGGGGCGTCCAGCAGGGGTGCGAGAGAACACTGTTCGGAATGAGTCCGCGTAAAGCCGCCAGGCTGGCCCGCGTCGAGCGCGTGGCGTCGCCGTGCAGCGCGTCGCTTTCGCCGTGCTTTCGCCGTGCTTTCGCCGTGCTTTCGCCGTGCTTTCGCCGTGCTTTCGCCGTGCTTTCGCCGTGCTTTCGCCAATGGGCTTCCCCCGTGCTTCCGCCACCGCCGGGGCGCAGACGCAGGGCAGAGGGCGCGCTGCTGCGCTGTTGCGCTGCTGACTCACGACGCCGTGGACGTCCACGCGGCGCGGGCCACGGCGGCCACGGCGGCCACGGCGAGTGCGGGGCAAACACGCGGATAAGCCTATCGCCACCAAGAAGGCCCTGCTGCTGCACGCCCCGCCCCGCCCCGCCCCGCCCGTCAATCACCCCGGCCGCGAGGCCCGTCCGTGTTAATTCGCCCCGCAAAGCAAAAGTGGCAGCTCTGGCGGCGACCGTCGGAACTACGTCGCCAGCTCCCTGGGCCGGGTTTTCTGGACAATGACGTCACGGGCCAGGCACGTGTCTGTGCCGCTACCTGGGCTACCTCACGGCCTCCACCACCACGGCTCATCGCCCCCACCACCACGGCTTGTCCCCCTACCACCCGGGTTTGTCGAAAAACCCGTCTCACAGCCGCGACTGTGGTGCCATCTCTCGGTTGCTTTGCGGGGCGAATTTTTGCCGTGCCGGATAAGCATCGCAGCCCTCTCTACGGCAAGCCTTCCCCAGCTCGCCGATAAGTTTGTTTTGCCAGACGGCAGTGGCAGTGCGCACGCCCCGCCCCGCCCCGCCCCGCCCCGCCCCGCCCCGCCGCCACCAGCCGTCCGCCCGCTGAAGAACCACACCGCGCGACACTTCGGCCGCGCTTTCACGGTTTTTCATTGAAGTACAACGTCTCGGTGATTAACGAGTCGAGCGAGAGAGGGAGGCGCTAATTCGTCGTAAATGTGCCCCTAGAGTCGCCGACGTCGGCGTCCCGTCCACGTCCACCCTCGCCGGATGCGCCCCGCCGTAACAGCGCGCGTTGCTGCGCTACGAACAGATTGAGTGGGGGTGGGAGTGGCCCTCAGATTCCAAGTGGACGTTTTAGTGGGAAACTGAAAACGGGCCCGGGTGGGGTGGGGCGGGGCGGGGCGGGGCGGGGCGGGGCGGGGCGGGGCGGGATGATGCACTACACTGGATGCGACGCGCGAAGCAGCGCGTTCCCGGAAGCAGCCAATGGCGGCGGCCGTCAAGTGATTCCGTCCTGCTGCAGCGCGGCGGCGCGGCGGCACTGCCGCACTGGATTCAATTAGATAATTGTGTTAATCTGTAGGGTATAGCAGCACTGTACTCGGCCGAAAATAAGGCCCGCGGCCGGGGACTGTCCCCGCAGCTCCACCCTCAGGTAAAAGTACTACCTCGCGTTTGCAGCTTTTGCGGCCGAATTCTGTACGAAGGGAGCGCGAGGCGCCCTTGGCTCTCTCGGGCTGTCGGTGGCTTCCGCCACTGCACTGCCACTGCCGCCAGCGCGCTCGGGTTGGAACTTCCCCGCGCCAAGACGGGCGGTTCCCACACGCCGGGGAAGCGTCCTGCCCGTCCGTCCTGGCCGCTTTGCCGCTTTGCCGCTTTGCCGCTTTGCCGCTTTGCCGCTTTGCCGCGCTTTGCCGCGCTTTGCCGCTTTGCCGCTTTGCCGCTTTGCCGCTTTGCACACAGGAACAGCGAGGCTCTGCCTGGCTCTGCCTGGCTCTGCCTGGCTCTGCCTGGCTCTGCTGGCCTCCAATTGAATCCACTTGAGCCGCAGACTGCAGTGGTATGTGATGCGGCCCCGGTCCTCCCCATCGCTCCCCTGCCGGCCGCTATCTCTCTCACTCTTTCTCAATCTCAGTCCGTCCGTCCGCCCCCCGTGGGTCTGCTCGTTTCGGACGCGGCGCGGTCCTTGCCCTACCTACGTCTCCGCGTCTCCCCGTCGCTCACTGGGCCTTTCCGCCATTTCCGCCACCACACTGTCTCGGACCGTCTCGGCAAACTCGCCGAGAATAGACTCGGGCCGGCTGCGATTTTTCGGGCCGGCTTCGGCTTCGCACAGCAAATAATGCACTAGACGGCGTCGTCGCGGAGACACGCCGCAGACACTGCAGACGCACACGGCGAGCAAATAGCGCGTTTGGCTATCGCGCGGCGAGACAGTAGGCGGCCGAAAACGCAACATTTTCCGCCGGAAACTCAAACAGCAGGCAAGAGGCGCGTTGAACTCAGGAACCGGCAGCCTTCCCGTCTGCGCGCCTACGGTGTAGGCAACCCTTCGGCCGGCCAGGCACCTGCGCGGCGGGCGACCCTCGACCCTTGCCGTCGTCGCCGGTCCGGTAGTTTTCCCGCTCGCCAACAGTAAACACGCCCGCGGAAGCACCCGGGGGTTGCGGCCGGACGTCGCGGACCTCTCGCGACGCGGACAAGCAGTACGCGGCGTATGGCACCGGGCCGACGCGCGGTGCGCGGTGCGCGAAGCACGGGGGCGACACTTGAACTAACACGCTTCGCTACGCGTCGACTTCCACTTGCCCCGCGTCCCTTTTTGTCTTTCCCGTTTTCGAAAGCCGCCGCCTCACCTCGCCTCACCTCATTAGGACGCCGGGGACGCGGGGGGCGAGGATAAGGCCGGCCGCGGGGGCATGCGGGACGGAGGGGAGGGGGAGGGGAGGGGGAAACAGCGGGCACACCTGTCCAATCAACCGGGATCAATCGTAGCGAGTAGCGCACTCCCCGTGTCTCTGCGCGCCAGCGGGGCGTCGCGGGGACGACGGGGCCCACGCTGGCCTATGCAGAGTGATTCCGCGCATGCAGCAGTCGTCGGTCTGTCTCTCTCGCACCTATCCCAGACGACGGGACGTTTCATGAGTGCGAGAGAGAGAACACTGCCGCGCAATCACTAGAAATCACTCTGCAGGCCGCGCGAGGCGCACGTCAAAGTGGCGCGCCAGTTCGTTTCCAGTGGCGGAGCGGTGGAGCGCGCCCTTATCGCTGGGCTCGCCCTTTCCTTTCGGCGATAGGCAGGCCGGGTGAAGGGCGAGGCGAGGGGGAGGAGGGAAGCGTCGCGGAGGGCCGTTGAGACGTGCAGACTTGACGTGGCCGGGGCACACACCGGCCCCGGCCGGCCGCGGCCGATATCACGTCGATCGTCGTGTAGTGTGCGTCTGTCGCCAGGCGCGACATCCGAAACGTCGCGACGCCGCGCCGCGCGCCACGCACGCCGGCGACCCCCATGCAGCTCGCGTCCCGCCCCGCCGCCGCGGCCCAACGCCACCACGGCACGCCGTCTCGTCTACCAGCATTATGATGCCCCGCACTCGTTGCCTGGCAAAGCAGGCAAAGCAGGCACCGCTGCACGACGGCGCGGCGCGTCCGCAGATCGTGAAAACGCGAAGGGTCGATTGGATTCAACCTGCAAAAGTTGCTGCCATCGCTGCCATGGAGCAAGGAGGCCGAGCATTTCAGGCTGGCTGTGTCGAAACTTGGAGGAATCACTCAGATAAACCTGGTTATTTTTCAATCCATCTTACACCTAACGCAAGCAAAGCTAACGCAAAGAGATCTGAAATTTTGGGGTGAGCCTTGTCGTGACCGAAGAGCTTCTTCATTTGAAAATGTGGGCAGTCCGCGCGCAGCCGGAAGCCGTTGGGTGGGTCGATCAGGTCGATCCATCGAAGTGGCATGGTATGAGAAATTCATAAGGCGTTGTTTTTGTTGATCTGTCAGCAGCTGTCTTCTGCTTGTGTTTTTGAAGTCCTTAAGTTTTATTTGTACACCTCTACAGTTTTCTTTCACCCATTCATTTTAAAATGGCGGACTTCGACGATATAGATAACCCATACAATATCAATGGGCCCAATTTCTGCCCAGAAATGTATGTCCAGAAGCTTCTGAAGGTTAGTTGTCTTGATATATTTACGTTGTTTCGCTATAAATTTTTGTACTTAGCTCAAATGACATTATTGAACATGAAGACAACTTTTCTGTTTTAATATCAATGTGCTCATCTAATTCCAATACAGTTGATTTCAAGACTTGGTTCTTATGCGTTTGTTGACCTTTTTGCAGGGAAGCAGTTTGAAGCAGGTAATGGACAATGAAGCAGAGATAGTTCGAGATACTCAATCATTGCATTCTGACATGCAGACCTTAGTATATGAGAACTACAACAAATTCATATCTGCAACTGACACAGTCAAGAAGGTATGTGGTCGGTCATCTTACGAGTAACTACATCGCATTCACCTACTTCCCATTTTTCATTATAAATCTCCTTTCTAGATGAAAAGCGACTTCCGAGTCATGGAAGATGAAATGGAGCAGTTAGCAGCAAACATGGAAGAAATAACTAAATCATCTCAGCAGATATCATCTACATTACAGGTATAGTTGATTGGAATTGGAAGTGGATACTTAACACCATTGACGAGGTATAAATCTTCTATTTTATCGTGGTGCCTGTTTATATCCTGTTTCAGGAAACCAGACAACAATTTACCAAGCTCTTGGGTGTTCATTCACTGCTTAAGCGTCTGCAATTTTTGTTTAAACTGCCAGCTAAGCTTTCCGCACGTATCAAGGAAGAGCAATATGCTCAGGTTAGCTTCTGATTCTAATGTCAATCTAATCTTTGCCAATCATTTTCTTTTATCAAGAATGCATTTTTTTTTTCAGGCTGTGCAGGATTACATTCATGCTCAAAGGGTTCTAGAGCGTTATGGGAACATGGCATCATTCCAAGGGATCCAGAAAGACTGTGAAATTATTTTAGGAGATTTGAAACAAAGACTGAGGGACCAGTTTAAAAATAAAGAGGCTAGTGCCAAGGACTTGGCAAAGGCGGTGGATCTGTTACTACAGTTAAGTGAACCAGCAGATCAGTTGTGTGCAGAATTTTTGGCCCATGCTGAAACTAGACTGGAGGAACAGTTAGGAATACTTGACAGTTTCCAGGAACAGGTAATTTTAATCAAACAGATGTTTCAAGTTATTAATTTAATTTTCTTAAAGTAAGGATTTACAAGTGTTTTTTTTTTTTTTTGTAGGATTTGTTGGAATTTGTGGACATGGGGAGCAAAGGGTTCTTGAGTGATTTATGCTTGGTAGTTGCCTCATACAATGATATGTTCATTAATCGTCATACTTCAGATGTACATGCAAGGTGTGTTATTTAAATGGCGCTGTACTTATCGTACATGTTTTGCTTTCTCTTTTAATACAATAAAATTTTTATTTTTCAGTGACGATTTTGAAACTTTGGCCACAGGACAATTAAGCAAATTTGTTATGGAACGCATGGAAAAATATTTTGCTCTGGTCAGCAGCAGAGTAGAAAAGCAGCAGGAAGTAGGAGAAACTCTTATCCTAGTTAGAGCATTGGATCGTTTTCATCGCCGTCTGCAGGCCATCAACACATTATTCCAGCACACTGATTTCACTTTGTGAGTCTTTTTTTTTTAAATTTTGCTTTTAATTACCCCTAAATCAAGTATTGTGTGAATATTGGGCAGTTTTACCATCATATCTTTATTTACCAGGACTGGGACAAATATTGCATTAAAAGCAGGTAGGCGCCAATGCAAAATTCACTTGCAAGCTCTGAAGGGCCACTTTTGGGAAGCCCTGACCAGGGTTCGCCAGACACTCGCTGCCCCCAAGGCTGCTGGGCAGGATAAGGATGGCCCTAGTCTTCCAGAGCTATTGACCAGCGTAGTTCTAGCAACCAGGGTGAAGGTCAAAAATGTCTTGCAAGACTTACTGGTAAGAATAAAAATTTTGACTAAATTTGCAGTGCATTTATAGATTTGTAGGTCTTTTCCAGTAACGCTCTGTTATTTTTGTAGGTATTCCTTCAACCTGATTTGATGTTTGCAATGAAACCAATGTTCCGGGAGGCATTTTGTGTGGATGGTGTACGCGAAGGTTTGGTAGTTGGATTTATGCACCATCTGACTGCTACTGCTCGGGGCTTCTGTGCTCCTGGGCATCACAGCGTTCCACCAGCTCTTCTCCTTCTTCTCTCAAAAATGTGTCTTGACTTTGAGAGTACAACTGTCCGTGAGCTGGTAAAGTTGTTTTTCTTGTCTGGATAAAATGATCAGCAAATTAATCTTTTACCAAAAGTAATAATTAAAAAAATTGTTTTTCAGCTCAGCCATACAGATGATTGCTTTGATGCTGGTGTGACCAGTTCATCTGCTGTAACACCACCAACTGAGCTCTGTGCAAATATGAAAGCTGCTGCTCAGGACCTACTAAATCACTATGTTAGAATGCAAGGATTAACAGTTTCACAGGTAATTCATCTATTTTGAACTTCCCTTGACTTTTGCTAGTTGGACAGAGTAAAAGTTACCATGTTTTGTGTTCTTTGTTTTGCACATTTATTTCTCTGTTCCAGATGCTTCGTAAATCTGTGGAGACTCGTGACTGGTTGCATACCATTGAGCCACGCAATGTTCGAGCAGTGATGAAACGAGTTGTTGAGGATGTAGCTGCAATGGATGCCCAAGTTGGTTTGCTGTATGAGGAAGGTCAAAGAGCAGAAAGAAGTTCGGACTCTAGCCGTCGCACGCACAGGTACTTAAAACTATTTACAGAGGTTGCAAAGAACACAACGTTACTTCTTTTACTGGACGTCATGTCTTCAGACTTGATACTAAATCCCCTCCCCCCCTTTTTTTCCAGCATGAGTGTTTCTCGTCAATTTAGACCAAATTGGTCATCTTATGCATCCAGTCAGCTAGACCAAAGTGCAATTGCTACAAATATTCACAAGTTGTTCTCAGAACGTATTGAAATATTTTCTTCTGTTGGATTTTCTAAAGTATCCATTCTGACAGGAATCATAAAAATTGGGCTAAAGGTAAGTTCATATCTAATATTAATTTTTAGTTTCAAACCATAATGTTAACAATGTTTGTCTTACTGTTACTATTCTGTTTCATCTAGACATTTATAGAATGTGTGAGGTTACGAACCTTCAGTAGGTTTGGTCTTCAACAAATTCAAGTTGACACTCATTATCTCCAACTGTACCTTTGGAGATTTGTAGCAGATGAAAAGTAAGATACAGCCATGTTTTGTTTTTTCCTCCAGGATTGAAAAGTGTTCCTTTACTTACCTTGATTTTTGAAAAATTTCAGCTTGGTTCTCTTCCTCTTGGATGAAGTTTTGACCTCTACTGTCCACCGCTGCTTGGACCCAGTTTTAATGGAACCTAGTGTTATGGATATAATTTGTGAGAGAGGATAAGAACTCTTGGAAATTGTTCCAGCACCATTGAATGTGTCATGTTATGTTTTAACTATTTATAGACCTTTCCCCAAAAGCCTCAGGTGTTTTTATGTGATAATTTTATGTAAATTTTTGAGCACTGTTATTAGATGAATTAAGCCAGAAGTATTAATAAATTATAAACCTTATTGAAATCAATGATCCAGTTAAGACAATTTATAATTTTGAAACAATATACTACTCATGTAATCATATATTAGATAATATTATAGTCATCTTTAAGTGCCTTTGTATTTTTATCAAATAAAAAATGTGTTGTTTAAACCTTTGTTGCATTCAGTGATTCACCTTGACCTCAAAAAGAAGTAAACATACCCTTTTTTGTGGTTCTGGGGGGTTGGGGGGAGGGACTTAGACCTTCTTGGCCAAGGTTGTGGAAAGGGTTGAGATTGGAGCACGTGTCTATGCTATCCTCAGCGTGCCCTGCAGTGCAGCAGTGCAGGCAGCAAGGCGGTGACGAGCCGCGCGCACGCGTCACTCGTTGAGACGAGACTCTAGTTGAGTGAGACTCGACGACGGCCCGGCCCCGCCACTGCCTGCACGCGTCATAATGATGCCCTTCACCGCCATCATGACTCATCTTCATCTCGGCTCCTCGGCGAATGGAAAACAACGAGGGTTCGCGCCGTGCTACGCCGTGCTACGCGGTGCGTGCCGTTGAACCTGCAGATCGCTGCAGATGCTGGAGACTGGAGAGGAGACGCCGCCGGAGAAAAACCAACCACACACTCGCGGTCGCGTTGTGAGCCGAAGGACCGAAGGCGTCGAGGAGAGACGCGATAACAAACAAAACGTTTGCGACGTTTCCAAGTTCATTTCCGCGGAATGGGAAGTGATTCCGCCAGATCCGTGAAGCCATTTGGGACTTTTCCCGGTCTTACGAAGAGAGCCACTGCGTCGTTCCATCGCGGCGTAATTATGGTTCCACACCCGCCTTGTGGGAAAGGTCACCTGCTTGACTTCGGTAAGCATAGGTACGGACGACAGTTAAAATCATACTGAAAGGGCTTTTTGAAACAGAAAGAAAGAATTGGGGTCGGTCAACACCACTCCAGAGTCAGGGGGAAGTCCACTGGTTTGCCGCCATTTTCTTTGTTGCTGTTATGCGTCCGCGGGGTTTCTCTCGTTAGCACTTCCCTCTATAAACGCCGGCGTGCCGCCGCACACCTGACCCCTCGGCCCCTCGGCCCCCCGCTCTCGGAAGGGAAGGGAAGGGGGCCCCGACGCCCCACTCCGAGCCCCCGCAGCCCCCCGCCGCCCCCCGCCAAGCGCGCGCCGGAGGTGAGCCGGAGGTGTGGGGTGGCCATCCCCGCCAGCCCCGCCAGCCTCGCCCCGCCCGTCTTGCACCTCGGCGTGGCCGTACCGTGCCGCAGCGGCCGCAGCGCTAGCCCAGGCCAAGTGCGGCACAGTCGTGGAGTCATCGCGAAGCCGCCAAGCCGCCGTGCCAGCCAGGACAGCGGGTCGCGGGTCGAGTCCCGAGTCGCTCGCAACACTCCCATCCTCCCACGCGAAGTGCCCCCCTGTCGCACGCGCCGCCGTAGTCGTAGCCGTCCGGCGCACGACGGCTTTTGCAGACCGCGCCGGATAAGGCGCAGCACTCGTCGAGGATTACCGAGGACTCCAACCAGGTGAGGCGGGGAATGACCAGGGCCGCGCCACTGCCGTGCGTCGACAATGCGGCCGCGGACCATTCTTGCATTATTCCTTGCATTCAGCTTGCCGTTTGTAACCTGCACTGTTTGTCAAGGCGATCATCGTTGCCTGGGCAACCATTACGCACCATAGTGCGTTTCTTTGCGGCTTGAGCAACTAGTCGCAAAACAGTGTGGTTCTCAGAGTTTGGTTTGGCTGGAAGCGTTGAATAGAGGCCATGGCTCGGAAGGTATTTAAGAGGCGGCCAGAGTTTTCTTTCCCAACCTTTGAGTTATGCTTCAACTTTCGGTGTCCCTCGATGTAGCGCCTAGACTCGCCTCGGGATTGACTCAGGATTGGCTCGGCCCCGTTCGTTCAAGATCTTCAAGATGCGCCGCGGCTCCGGCGTGCTCCGCCATGTGCGGTACGGGCCGCAGCCTCGCCGCGCCCCGCCGCGCCGCCGCCGCCGAGTCCGTTGCGACATCGAACCCCACGGCGACACCGGCCAGACGGCGTTGTTGTGGCAGGGAGAGGCAGCGAGTGGGGGCCTTGTCCTTTTGCGCGAGTCTGCGAGTCTCGCACGGGCCGGGCGGGGCGGGGTGGGCCACCCGCGCGACGCGACGCACCGATGAGGCCCTCGCCGTCATTGTGTCACGCCCTTTCGCTTTCTTCTGCGTAAGTGATGCAACTTGCAAGAGCGATTAATCCGGCCATCATCGTCTCGCCGGCCGGCTGGCGCGGCGCGGTGCGGTGCGGCGCGGGGAAGTCCCCCGGCCGGTTTGCGCGGCGCGGCCGCCGCGGTTCACTGCGCTCGCAGGGCGACTGTTCATTGTTTTCCTCAGCGGGCGCTGCCCTGGCCTCGTCGTCCTCCTCACGGGCCGAGGGCGCCGAGGGCCGCCAGAGCTAGAGCGGCTCATCGGCATGCCCTCGGCGCCTAGAACCTGCTGCTGCTGCATCTCGGTCCATTGCCACCGGGCGGCCTTGCCGGTTGCGTGTCGGGGAGGCGGGGCGGTGGCGGTGGCGCGGGGGGTCTCGGATACCGATGCATCGGCGGCGAGGCCCCCGGAGCCCCTGAACCGGCTGCAGCCGTAGCCACGCGTAGCCAGGCGTAGCCACGTCAACCCGGCCGGGCCGGGGAGGCTGCGGGCTGCGGCCATCGACTGCGGCGGGCCTGTCTTTGGGCGGCACGGCGTGCGGCACGGCGGCGGCGAGTCGGCGGTGTGGTCACCGCGCTGCCCTGGCGTAGCCCTGGCGTTGCCCCACGCGGGGCCCGGCCGAGCCGGGCGGCTTGGCTTTCGACACTGCTCACAGCCTCCCGGAAATGTGGGAGCGGCTCGGACCGCGCCGCGCGGGAGGCGTGAACGGCCCCACAATAAAGACCCGCATCTGCAGCGGCCTTGCATCGAGGGGTCAATGATGCAACGTCGTATTGGGCCCTGCAGTTGTCAGGCGTCGGGCTGGCGCACCTTAGAGGTTTACTTCTTTCTGTGTGTTTTTCTTCGACAATGGAGTGTACGGTGCTCTGCTTGGACTGCTGCTCGTCTCACCGCCCCGAGGAATCAGCATTCCGGACGAGCGCATCCGCTGTTTCTTCCCGCTTGAGCACGTGGCCGCGCGTGGGAAAGCCAAAGCCGGTCAAAGCCGCCCCGCCGGTGGAACTGTCGCACTGTCGCCTACGCACTGCTACACTGCTACGCACCCCGCGGCTCTGGCCGCGCCGCCCCGGACCGGACGGATGGACCACCGCAACGACGCGCCGCACAGTCGGCCACAAGACCTGTGGATGCGGCCAAACCCGAGGCCGAAACTTTAGACGCGTTTTGAGCTCCAGAGTCGATAAACAGGACTCAAACCGAACGTGTGACCCCACCAATGGATTGCTCTCCGAACGAGGGATCCATTGGTGGGGTCACACGTTCAGTTCGAGTCCCATTCAGCGACTCTGGAGCTCCACCGGTCTTCTGGCCCACTGTGCGCCGGGCAGCCCATCGTGTGGGAGGGGAGGCCGGTACGTACCCGCCACCACGGCCGGGCGCGGCGCGACGGCGTGACGCCCAGCAGGCCCGCGCTGCGCCGCGACGTGAGCGAGCCTGCGTCGCGGGCCGCTCCGCAGCGCCCAACGCATGGAAGGTCGCACGTATTGGCCGCCTTCCAGCGTCGCCAGGAAGAACGAAAGTCGCCTCGCCTCGCGGCAGCGCGGTCGCCAGGCACGTCGCCCGGCCCGGGCCACTGACTGAACGCACAGTGCCCTCTCTTGAATGGAGACTTGAACGCACAGCGTGCCGCGGGCGGTGCCCGCGCGCGGACGGACGTCGGAAGCGCTTGTCGGCGAGCGGGGGCAGTGGGAGCGACCCTCCAAGGACGCATTCCTTTGCCGTTCATTAAAATAACGCCTTGACACCACTATTTACAAGCACGCGCGGCGTGACGCGGGTTCACGCGGCCGTTGGCTGGCGTTGGCGTTGTCACGCGCGGTTCTATTTTCGAACCCTGAGGCGGGAATTATTTTCTGCTCATGATTCCGCGATGGTTGGGTAAACAATACTCTTCGCACAGCAGCCATGGCGGCGGCCGCACCAAGACGAGTCCCGTCGCTTATTGGACGATGGCGACACGAGACGCGAGGCGAGACGCGTCCAGGACACGCCGTCAGCCCGCGCCAGCCCGCGCCAGCTGTACCGTGTGTTTGGCGGGTAAACCCGGGGAAACCACAGAGGCGCTCGCTGGCCGGGAAAATGTGCGAAATACGTGCGTTGGAGGCCATTAGCGTCATCCACAGTGATTGGGCCGCCTGCGCTCGTCGACGGGGAGGTGCAAGCTGCGACGCGGAGGTGCAGACTGCGACAGCGAAGACCGGAACCGATAAGGCCGGCAGGAACCTCCGCCGCCGAGGAGGTGCACCCCGTCGGCCTCATGGCCTGATGAGGCCAAATGAGGCCGCCTTTTGCCCGTTTGGATCGCGGCGGAGCGCGGAGCGCGGCGTAAGCTCAGTGTGTCAGGGTCGTCGGGCCGCCGTGCCGCGCAGCGCGCGCAGCGCCTTGGCCGCGCCGGGGTGGGCTGGGCTGAGCCGCGCGCCTCCACCACAAGCACCACCAGCACCCGGACTAGGATGACCCCCAGCGTCCACCCCGGCGGCCGGTCGGCCCGCCGCCAAGGGCAGGGTCAGCGCCTCCCGACCGCCCCGACCCCACAACCTGTCCCGTCCCGTCCGGCCGGCCGGGTGGGTCGCCGCTCGGGAAGTCGAGCAGGGCAAAACGTTGACTTCGGGGTTGTGTAAGCAGTGCGAGGCAAGCCTTTGCTATTCGTACGATAAAGTCGATTTCTGAGCATCACGCTTTGGCTTCGCGAGGCGGGGAGACGCCGAAAAGGTGGACGCCGCCAGTCCACTGCTGACTACGGCCCGTGGCTCGCGGTCACGCAACCTCGCTCTCTAGACGCCGAGTCCGGAGGGTACTTCGTCGCTCTGTCTCTCTCGAACCAGCAGGGGACGCCCCAGTGCGAGGGAGACAGCGACGAAGGCAGTTGGCACTGGTGGCACTGGCAGTGCGCGCGGTACGGCGGCACCTCGAGCGGAACGCGGGCAAGTTCAGGGCCCGGCCGGGCTTGGCTAAGCGCGCTGCAGAGTGGTCCGTGCATTGCCAACGGCCAAGTGCAGGCTGCAAGGTGCAAGGTGCCTGGGCCGTGGGCCGGCTGCGACGGGGCGGGGCGGGCCGCTCGAGGAAGTGACTGCGAGATGAAATGTTGTCGCGCTGGTTCAAAATGAATGAGGGATAAGAGCCAGAACCTTTTTTCAGAGGGCTCTACTGTCATTGTCTGGTGTGACGATCTTTGGGTGCGGACGTCGGGACAGCCTGGCCAGATAGGCTACTTCATCAAGGGGCCCGGCTGGCGCTGCTGGGGACTTCCCTGTCACCTGTCCGCGGCCGAGAGCTCTCGTCCGCGCGACGGCACTCTGTCACTCCGGCCCCGCGCCGCCCGCGCCGCCGCGTGTGTACATTTCATTTCCCGCCGGTCCAAGTGCCCAAAGCGGCCAATTAACCCGTCCTGATGTTCGTCTGGAAGTTTCCGCGGAGGCATCTCTCTGCTCTCCGCTCTCCGGCCGCCGGGGACCGCCGGGGGACGCGTCGTCGGGGACCCATTATTATTGAGTCTCCTCGACCTTCCCTTCCCGCGCGTGTTTGTAGGTTGGGTGCAAACAGCGGGGGTACGGCGTGGCGGCGTGGCGTGGTGTGGCGTGGTGCTGCGCGTGGGATGGGAGGTCCTGGTCTCACGCCTCGCGGCTGCTCGCGGTCCACGGCGTGGCGCCCGGTGGCCGTCAAGTCCGCGGCCCTGGACGGCGCGGCGCGCGCGGCGGACTGCTGCTTCTGCGAGGAGAGCGAACGGAGCGAGGCGCACGGCGCGCGAAGGCGGTCCGCGGCCCGAAGACGGCGCGGCGCGTCCGCCGGCATCAGCCTCGCACCCAACGCGAAAGCCCGTCCCATTCCAGACCGACCGCGCTTTCGTCGCCCTGTCTCTCTCGCACACCCACGCAACGCACCGCCGGTGCGAGAGAGACAGCGAGCGTCGATAATATCACTGTTCGAAATCAGAATTCAGCGTGCTGCTGGAATTACGTGGCACTCGGCCCGCTTCGCGGTGCTTCGCAGTTATGCCTGCATTGTTGTTATGCACACTGTAGGGGAAAAAGTCGTGCCTTGTTCCTCCTCAGATAAGGAGGAATGGAATGGAGCGTGCCTGTGCGCGAACGGCGCAGACGCGATCACTTTCCGCTCAAAATTAGAATGCTCATGAATTATCCGCGATCCTTCATGACTACACTCTCTAAAATTTCATGGAGGATTATAACGCGCGACTGCCGTAAAGAGGAGCGACGGCCCCTTTCGGTTGGGGCTCGGCCATTCTACCGCCACCTCCCCCGCCACCCGCAACATGCCACATGGTGCATGCAGCTTGCTCCGCGACGGCCGCGCGCGTCTCATCAGCCTCCCCGCGCGAATCGTTTCCGCGTGTGTGGCGTCGTCGTCGCTTCTGCACACTGCACACTGGTTCCGAACAGTGCTTCGCCGTGCCGTCTCTTTCGCACCCCTACGGCCCTACGGGACGCCCTCGTGAGTGCGGGAGAGACAGAGCGTCGAGATCGCTCTTCGGAATGAAGGTCCTCGTGGTGCTGTTCTGCTGGCTTGGCGTCCTGGAGGGGCGGCCCACAGTGGACCAGAAGAAGACCGCCACCGTCGCCCAATACTCCAGACACGTTTTGAGCTCCAGAGTCGCTGAGCAGGACTCGAACCGAGCGTGTGACCCCACCAATGGATTCCTCGTTCAGAGAGCAATCCATTGGTGGGGTCACACGTTCAGTTCGAGTCCCATTTAGCGACTCTGGAGCTCAAAACGCGTCCGGGATACGGGATTTTGACCGCCTCTACCAGCTTTCTGGCCCACTGTGCGGCCTGCCGGTCGGCCGGGCCCTTTGCGATGAGTTGGACGACGGCGCCTGGACGGCGCTTCGCTCCGCGCGCCGTGCCCGCGCTCCGTTCGGCGTTACTATGGCGTTGCGTCACTGGCGTTTCACTTTCTTCCGGGCGCGTCCTGCAGACCGGCAGGCAGGCCGACCCGCACGCGTCCGCCGCGCACCGCGCGGCACCGCGCTCCGCTGTAGTAGTCGCTGCTGCTGCTGTTGTTGTTGTTGTTGTTGTTGTTGTTGTTGTTGTTGTTGTTGTTGTTGTTGTTGTCGCTGCTGCTTTTGCCGGGCTCAGAGAGCGTGGTGGCTTACCTTAGCCTTCCCTTCGTGATGCATCACGCCGTGACTTTGACCCCCTTCGGGGCCTTCGGGGCCTTGGGGCGGAAATGGCCAGAAATGGCGCGGAAGCTGTCGGGGAAAAGGCGCCATCTGAGAAGAAGCGATTTCGTTCAATGTAGCAGTTTTTGCCGAATGTCGCGGTGACTTCACTGCCAACGCGCGCACGCGACAACACCGATTTTTCGTCGCGGTTATCTTGGAACCATTTTTGTGAGCGAACGCGGCGACTTTGTTGCAGGCCGAGACCGTGATGATGAAGCCCGGGGTGGCCGAGGCCCTGGCGGGGCAGACGCTGCTCCTGACGGGGGCGTCGGGGTTCCTGGGCAAGGCCATGCTGGAGAAGCTGCTGCGGACCTGCCCCAAGATCAAGAGGATCTACGTGGTGCTGCGCGCGCGGCGCGGCAAGGAGCCGCGCGACCGCCTGCGCGAGCTGCTGGACGGGCCGGTGAGTCGACGAGTCGCGACCACCAAAACCAGACCAAAAACTTGATTGAGGCATTTCTCTGCTGCATTTTTTTGTCCTGGCCGTTGCCAAACGCGGCCTTAATGGGCACCCCTTTGCCGGACAGGTGTTCGACAACATTCGGCGCAACAACCCCGAGATGCTGACCAGGGTGACGCCGCTCAACGGCGACTGCTTCGAGAAGGGCCTCGGCATGACCAGCGACGACCAGCAGCTCGTGCAGGCCGAGGTGAGCGTGTTCGTGCACACGGCGGCTTCCGTGCGCTTCGACGACCCCATCAAGTCCGCCGTGCTCCTCAACACGCGCGGCGCGCAGGAGGTGTGCAAGCTGGCGCTGGGCATGCCCAAGCTCAAGGTAAGGAAACGGGCCATCATGGCTCAGTGGGCCAGAAGACCGGCGGAGGCGGCCAGAACTCTAGACGCGTTTTGAGCTCCAGAGTCGCCAACAGGACTTAAACCGAGCGTGTGACCCCACCAATGGATTCCTCGTTCGGAGAGCAATTCATTGGTGGGGTCAAACGTTCGGTTCGAGTCTCATTTAGCGAATCTGGAGCAAACCCATCCGGGGTTTCGACCGCCTCCAACTGTCCTCTGGCCCACATGGCGCAGGTACGTCGAAAGTTGCACAGCAATCTTTGAACAAAGCCGCTGCTTGGCAGGCGCTCGTGCACGTGTCCACGACGTACAGCAACACGAACCACCCCGTCATCGAGGAGAAGGTGTACCCCGCCACGGCGGACTGGCGGGAAATGATCCGCCTCGCCGAGTCGCTGTCGGTGGACGAGTTCCAGAAGCAGGCGCCCCAGCACATGGGCTACCACCCCAACACCTACACCTTCTCCAAGTCCCTCGCCGAGCAGGTCATCAACGACCACCGGGACCGCCTCAACGTCGCCATCTACAGGCCGTCCATCGGTAAGGTTGCCGGCTTCGGCGTCACTTGCTTTCGAAAAAGGGACCCAGGCGTTTGTTTTTTTGGCACCAGAACGCGAGCCCGGGCCGACCGGCAGATGAAAAATGTCCGTGAAAGTTTGCGTCGAAGGTCTTACCCTTAGAGTGCTCGGCCATCATTACGTGACGGTGGGGTGGGGTGGGGCGGGGCGGGGCGGGGCGGGGCGGCCGAGGACTCGTGGCCCACATTGCCGCGACGCCGCGTCGCGTCAGAAGGCAGTTGGGTGGCCTGCCTCCCCGGCGCAGCGCCGCGCGGCGGACAGTCGACCCTACCGAGATGCTGCTGTTGCAGTGGTCGGAGCGGTCAAGGAGCCCATCCCCGGCTGGGTGGACAATCTCAACGGCCCCATGGCGATGTGCGTGGGCGTGTCCAAGGGCCTGATTCACACGGCGCTGGCCGACGACAACTCCGTCATGGACATGGTGCCCGTGGACATCGCCGTCAACGGCATCGTGCTCGCCGTCTTCGAGACCATGAGGAAGTTAGTGGTCAATGCCTACCCGCCACACGACTCACGGTTTGACACTCATTTCGGCCGCGCTAACGCCCCGTCTCCGACTTGTCTCCCACTTGCAGCAGCGTCCGCGGCGAGATCAAGGTGTTCAACGGCTGCTCGTCGAACAGGAGGACGCTCAAGGTGCAAGAGATCGTGGAGGCGGGCCTCAAGTGCATCGAGAAGAACCCCCACGACCGCATCCTGTGGTACCCCTTCGTCTTCGTGACGAGCCGGGTGTGGCTGTTCACGCTGCTCACCTGCGTCTTGCACTTCTTCCCCGCCCTCATCCTCGACACCCTCCTCAGGCTAACCGGCAACAAGCCCTGGTGCGTAACCTCCGAGACACCACACACCGCGCACAGTAGGCCAGAGGACGGGCGCCGGCGGCTAAAACTCTGACCGAGTTTTCAGCTCCAGAGCCGCTAAACAGGACTCGAACCGAGCACGTGACCCCACCAATGGATTCTCCCTTCAAAAAGCAATAATCGGTGGGCTCACGTGTTCGGTTTAGCGACTCTGGAGCTGAAAACGCGTCCAGGATTTTGACCGCCTCCACCGGTCTTCCGGCCCACTGTGCACCCGTACCATTCCCGCTGCAGGCTGGTCGATAATTTTGAAACTTCATTCCCCAGGATGTGGCGGACGTACATGAAGGCGTACAAGGCCACGCTCGCCGTCCGGTACTTCACGCTGCGCCACTGGATCTTCAGGAACGAGAAGTTCTTCGCGCTGGAGAAGGACCTGAACGAGCGGGACGCCGTCATCTACAAGCTGGACCAGTCCATGGACGTGGACATCCCCGAGTTCATGGCCCTGTCCATGGAGGGCGTCCGGAGATACGTCCTCAAGGAAGACATGGACCCCGTCAAAGCCAGGCGCAACCAAATGACGTCAGTACAGTCGGTTCTCCCGCCAAATCCTTCGGCCTTGGCCTTTATTTTAGTTGATGTCTTTTTTTTTGTTTCAGAATGTATATTATCGATCGTGTGGTTCGGGGTGTGCTCCTGTACTTCATCGGCTCCTCAGTCTACGGCTTTGTTTCTGGACTAGTAGCATGAGGGCGAGTTCACCGTTAAGTTAATCATCGTTTTAATATTTTTCTACCAAGTGCGTGTGTGTGTGTGACCAAGGTGAGCCGCTTTCTGTAAAAAACCTCTTATATTGTGGACGACGATGAAGTCAACCGCGCGTGTTGTGATCGATGTCTGATGCTGTATGATTTAGCGCTCAACCAAGTTTTCGTGGCAGCCTCATTGCTGGCACGTGTCCAGAGGCCCGTGGTAGATCGCAACAAAAAAGTGATTTCATGTACATATTTTGTCTTAGTTATAGCCCAATACTTAACAAAAAAAAAGTCCTGTAAGGGAAGTCGACGTGCTCATGTACTTACTCTAGAAGTATCATTTTGTTGAATAAAATTCGTTACTCTGCGTGTACCTGTTGACCTAACTGGCGTCTTGTTTTTGCCGCCGTGGCGGTAGGCCTCCCAGCTCACACCGCGATCCCCGGGGCGGTCCCCGCGACCCGCTCGACGTGCGTGCGTCATCTTGTTGAGCCCCTACCTGCCCCTGCCCCCGTACCGTACCGTTCCGGACCGGCAGCGGTAGCACGCCAGGATTAGCCCGGACTATCTCCCATTTATTGAGATTTGGAGATGTCTCGCGGTGTGGGCAGCCACGGCACCCCACAGTGGGCCAGAGAACCGCGCAGGTGGCCAAAACTCTAGACGCGTTTCGAGCTCCAGAGTCGCTAAACAACCCTCGAACCGAACGTGCGACCCCACCAATGAATTCGTCGTTCGGAGAGCAGTCTATTGGTGGGATCACGCGTTCGATTCGAGTCCCATTTAGCGACTCTGGAGCTCAAAACGCGTCTGGGGTTTGGCCGCCTCCACTAGTTTTCTGGCCCAACGCGCGCCCCAGCCAGCGGGCTACTGGTCCGCACTGGGACTGCGCCACCTGCTTCACGTCCTTCTGCAAGTAAAGACGGAGTTGCGCGAGGCCCCGCACTGCCCACCGCACCTTGAGAAGGCGAGCCACTGCAACACTGCTGCAAAGAGAGGAGCCGGGGCAGGGGGAGGGTCCAGTCACAAGGGGGAAAGGAGGGGCACCCGCGACGTGACGCAGAAGGGCATCGTTGAGGTGACAGGCTCAATTTGGAGCGGGCCAGCGTTGATGATGAGGCGGCCAAGGCAACCCCCTCACTGTAAATGTCTCACGGTGAAAGGCTGCTCCAACATACCACGTACAGTGGAGGTTTTCTGCATAGAAATTCGACAAAATATCTGCAAGGTGCAGTGAATTTTCAGAGGTCAGTTACGCAGTCAGCTAGCACTACCATAAATAGAGGATTTTTCGCCATATTACGGAGGATCTTCTCCTCAAGACTAAAAGTCGCCGACTCAAACATTTGATCGGCCTGACCTGACGTCACGCACACTAAATGTTGTACAGTGAAGATTCTCCATATTATGGTGAAAATGTTCCATATTATGGTGGTGCAGCTGACTTCGTAACATACCATTGAGAATTCACTGTACCTTACAGATATTTTGACGAATTTCGTTGGTATTATGGAGAAAATGTCCACCATAATATGTTGGTGCAGCCTTTCACCGTAAGACATTTACAGTGCGGTTGCGGTCAGTGCGCCAATCTCGGCGTTGAGCCGCAATCCGCGAGAGCCCTAGAGAGACGAGTGAGACTAGCGAGACGAGTGCGACTGACAAGCGAGACTAGTGAGACCAAGGAGACAAGCGAGACGGGTGCGCCCCCAGGCCTTTCGCCAACCCGGGAGGGCGTGGCCCGCGCAGTGAGCGCAGGCGCGGCTGCAGCATGACTGGAGCATGACGCGCGCTGTGAGCGAATTGGTGGCGAATCGGCTGGACTTGTCGGTCCTCGATGCAAGGCGGTGCAAGGACTCTGCACCTTCACTCCAGTAACTCCATACGTGCCAGTGCGCCCGCCAGGCAGCGGCCGCGTGCAGTGGGGTGCGCGGGGAAGGGAGGGATGACATCACCCCCCCCCCCCCTTCCCCATCCCCCCTTAGGTCGCTAAGGCCTGGAAGGTAGGCAAAGTTGTGACAATCCGCGACAACGAAAGACGTTGCTTGACCTTTCAGTTTCAAAATTTCTGCACAACGCGCCAGGGCCCGCAGGGTGTAGTCTGATTTCCGAACAGCGCATCGTCTGTCTCCCTCGCACCCGTGCCGGGTGCCCGACGAGTGCGAGGGCGACAGGGCGACGAAAACGGCAGCGGCGCGGTCCACTGATCCGCTTAATAATGAGGCGAACGGGGACAAAAAATAACGGGCAAAAGAAGGAAAAGCCGAAACTAAGGCGTTTGCTGGGACCTGTTTCGGGAGATAGGATCACCGTGACCTTTCTTCTGACGACCTTACTCTCGCAAACGCCGCGCAAATAGAGACAATCCAGGCCGATGGGTTGCTTGCATTGTTCTCCTCGCAAAGACAGATTTTCTGTCGAGTTTTACGATATTTTTTTCGTCGGTCAACCGCCCTCCATTGCGTCCTCTGTATGTTGCTCCGACCGACGGCCGGGGGCTCGAATGGCAGACAGTGATGTCAGTCGTCGGGTGTGAAGTCCGCAGCAGTTTCCTAACGCTTACAAAGTCTCAAGACTATCAGTCGTGGGACACTTTTGTCGAGTGCTGCTTTTAAAATTTTATGCACTTGACACCGTTTTTCATTAATTTCTTTTCGCATACGGCACTCATGGAAATGACTAGGTGTTCCCATTTTGATACTGATCTCGGCGTTGCGGGCTTTGCGGTGGGCTTGGGTGCATTGGCGCGTGTTGCGCAAGGGGGGCGAAGCCAGGCGAAGCAGTCCGTCTCCCACTACGTCCAGGACGCCAGGACTCGGTCCATGACGTCCAGCCTCGCGTAGCCTCGCGTCCACATTAGCCGCAGCTCACCGCGGGGCGTAGCGGCGCAGCAGCGCAGCGCGCGGGCCGCACCACATTTGCGGCGATCACGGCGCCCACGAGCAGGCCGCCGTCTCTCTCGCACCCCCGCGGCACGCCCCACGAGTGCGAGAGAGACGGAGCGACGGGGTGCAAGCTCGTTTTCAGTCAGTACGCTTATACGGGAGGCGCCCGATCGCCCTACATTCAATTAAAACAAAATCGATATTCATGATTCATGGAAATGCGCTGGTTCGAAACCGGTTCGAATAGAGCGGGAAGCTTACTCCACGTGCCAGGTTCTGGAGCGAAGAGTGGCAATGCAGCAAAACAGACGGAAGCCTTTTCGCACCGTTTCGTCCCGTTTCATCCCGATGCGTCCCGCCGCACGTTGGCGCACATGGAGCAAGTGGATGCACAACGTGGAGGTTGTGTCAGGAAGTCCAGCCTTTCCCTTGTGGATCCACAGCGTCCAACCTCACAGTGTGGGCAGAAGGCCGGGCGAGGTCAGGAGTAGCCTCTCTCGTAGAATGTGGTCACTCCAGTACGCAAAATCGGTTCGTTTTGTTGTTTGGGCCAACGAGGCACTCCTCCGCCGAAGCTGTGTACATCGGCCGGGTCGAGCGGCCGAACGGCGGCGGCCTGCGTCCGAGGCGGCAGACAGAGAGCCACCCGACCCGACGGCCGGCGAGCGACAGCGCTGACCGAGGCGCTGACTGCCCGGCCCGCCTCGGACGCACGCTGATAGACATGGACACCTCTGTTCCCTACTGGGTTCCATGCGGTCCCCTACCCCAGCTCCCGTCCCGGCTCCCGGCCGACACCGAGTCTGGGCGCCCCACGCCCCACTGGGCGCAACGCCCCGCTGGGGCCCCGCTGGGGCCCCGCCGCCCCTAGGCTAGAGCCCCTTGGTCGCGCCAGTCCGCGGGGAGACTTGCTCGTGAGCGCCACGGGCACAGTGATCGCCGTGGACGTGGTGGACGCGGTGACGGGGAACAAGGCCTGGGCTCATCCCTCCTCGGCGCGCCGCCGTCGCACGGCGCCACGCTCTCGTTGACCTGCCCGGCGAGCACGCCTCGACCGCAACGCCGCAGCACGCGCCGCAGTGATTAGCACCCCGACGACCGCGGTCTCGAAGCAGGTACGGAGCGACGCAGCCCTTGCAGTGCCCAGTGTTTACAGTGCCCGCAACGCCTGCAATGACACAGAACGGCCGCGGAGAATCATCTCGGCGAGAACGGGGAGTTTTCAGATTTCAAACGTGTTCTGTACAAGCGTGGGCACCAGGGGTGGGGGCAGGGGTTGCAACATACACCTGTTCCTTTCACTCGGCCCTTTGAGAGACCAGCACCCTCGCATGCCAGTGTACCAGTCTAACTTCGACCAAACAGGCAAATTTTAGATTATTTAAATTTTTTTGAATCTTTTCCTTTACTTTATAAGTTATGTATGTTGTAAACGATCTAAGTTCCTGAATTAATTTCCTGACTGCCTGCAAGGGCTCGTCAAGCAAAACATTTTTTTAAGTCGATGATTATTTTTAAATATTTTTTAGGGTTGTTGCTAGAAAAGGGGAGGGAGATCACGGAGAGTGACAGGCTAGGTGGGGGATTCATGAGCGTGTGCCTTTCGCTTGCAAAAATACAGGATTTCGAATGTTTTACGCTGTTGCGTTCAAACACGTTTCAAAATCGGCTGTCTGAGCCCCGTCTACCAAATCGTCTGTCTGCTAGCTCCCCCGTCGACCAAATCGGCTTACCCTAGTCTCGGAATTGAGCCTCGAGTGACGGGGAACCGCGGGGACGCAAGTCACCAGTCACCCCTCCCCTCCTTTCCTCCCTTCTCCCCTTCGCAAAAAGGCCAGCTTTACCCGGTTCTGCAAGTATGCACTTCTCTCATTACACTTGGTGTAGGCTGCGCTAGGCTGCGCGAGCAGCCCACTTCGGCAGGCGCGCCAATAACCGCCCCAGTTTTATGAGCCAGCAAAAGTGGTAGGGACAGCAGTCGTACACCAGTACTTGCTTATCGCAACATTCGCAACACGGGCGGCGCTCGCCATTCCCACCGCAAATTGCTGAGCATGCGTTCGCCAGGGCACGCCGCGCACGCGTACGCACACGTAGGCGCGGGGCGCCGTCGCTTCCGCGGAGATCTTCATTCGCGAAGCAGTTGAAAGTAAGGCGACTGGCTGACTGGCTACCGCGTCGCGCGCCACAGTGGGCCACACACAAGGCCGGTGTGGAGGCAATCAAATTCCCGGACGCGTTTTGAGCTCCAGAGTCGTTAAATGGGACTCGAACCGAACGTGTGACCCCACACGCGTTAGAAGAGCAATCTGTTGGTGGGACCACACCTTCGGTTCGAGATTTATAAATAGCAACTCTAGAGGTCAAAACACGCCCAGAATTTTGGCCGCCACCGCCAGTCTTCTGGCCCACTGTGCCGCGTCGCGTCGGTTGCCAGCCGCAAGCGTCAAACACGAAAATCGCCAAACCGCGCACGCACTCGGACGGACGATGCATAAGTTATGAACAGTCTTTTTTGGCATGACGCCGACGCAACACGCTCGGAACAGGAAAAGCACAAAAACTATTCCTGTTCAGAGGGCGCACGGCACCAGTTGGCTCAATTCTCACATAATAATAGTCAATTCTTGCAATGCCGTAAAGACGGTTCTTGTGAGCTGCCGGTGGTGCCGCTCGTCCTCCGCGACCCGCGACCGCTCACCGCGGGCCGTGCTGCCGTACCATCGCGCCGGCAGTCGTTTATTATTTCTCTTTTTTACGCGCGTGTGTCTTTTTCCATTTTCTCGTCGCCTTCAATGCTAATTGTGCGCACAATGAGGCTCTTTGAGGAGGGGTCGCGACCCGGCCCGGCTAGGCCCGGCACTCTCACAGCCTTCCCCGCGCTCCAGCCGCTCCAGCCGCTCCAGCCGCTCCAGCCGCTCCAGCCGCTCCAGCCGCTCCAGCCGCTCCAGCCGCTCCAGCACCGGGAATCGAAGCCGGCGGCCCGACTCCAGTTCCGAATTATTGGGCAACATAAGCCGGCCGAAGAGAGGCCCTGCTGCCGGACCGCCCGCCCGCCCGCCTCCACCCGGCGCCGCCCGGCCCGCCCGGCACGGACGAGTTCCGTCGAGTCACTTTGGCCGTCTCGCTGTCGAGGCGCCGTCGGAGAGAAACTCCGCGACTCTCTGAGGGGGTGGGGACAATTTTCGGAAAGGACTTCCCTCCTCCTTCCCAAGGGCATAAATCGTTTTATGCCCTTAAAGGGCATAATTTTAATGCCTTTGTTTCACCAGTGTATTTGCTGTTCCTCTCCACCTTTCACAGGCACACGTGTTCACTTCACTTTTTTCCGCGCGATTCGCAGCACTCATACACACACGTCTGCGTGCATGACACGCACACATGCACATGAACACACATGCACATGAACACACATGCACACGCGCTTACGACGGGGCCCGCCCCTGCAACGCCACCTGGAGGCCGCGCTGCCTACCTGCAGGTCCGCAGGTCCGCGAGTACCCCACCCTGCACGGGCAGGCGCAGGGCAGGGTAGGGTTCCGGCGGCGAGTGCAACGCGGTGCAGCGGGGCCCACGCGGCGGCGGGCTCGGGGAGGGGAGAGGAGGCGGAGGGGCGTCGCGGCGGGTTGGGTAACGCGACCCAGTCGCCACGCCGGGTTCCGCTAAACTTCCGCACCAAATCCTCACCGGTCGACGGACGCTGCTCGCTGCGCGCCGCTGCAGGCTGCAACTTTGGTCCAGAGGAGCCGTGCGCGCAGCCAGAGTCACCCCGCAGCCGAAGCCCGTTGGCCGTCACCGCCGTCACCGCCGCGCGTTCAACATGGTGCTCCACGTGGTTCAGGTCCTGGACGTCTCTGCCCGCAGCATGACGGACGTGGCCGTCGCCGTGCCCAGCGCCCTGCGGGGGAAGAAGGCCACCAGGGTGTACGGCGTGCAGCGCGCCGTGCAGCCCCACGAGATCGACATCTTCCGGACCTGGCTCAAGCAGCAGCCGCACCTGCCGCACGACATCCCAGGCACGTAGAACGCGGAGCCCGCTACCACTCAGTGGATTTGCCAGAAGACCGGTGGAGGCGGCCAAAACTCCAAACGCGTTTTGAGTTCTAGAGTAGCTAAACAACCCTCGAACCGAACGTGTGACCCCGCCAATGGATTTCTCGTTCGGAGAGCAATCCATTGGTGGGGTCACGCGTTCGGTTCGAGTCCTGTTTAGCGACTCTGGAGCTCAAAACGCGTCTAGAGTTTTCCATCGGTCTTCTGGCCGACTGTGCACCAGTGCACCGCCAATGGCCCACACTCCTGCACTGCAAGTAGCCAGACAGTCGTAGACAGTGCAGCAGTGAGAACGGTACCTCGGTCTTGCCCTCAGATGAGACGCTCGCCATGTTCCTCCACTCGCAAAACCACTCGCTGGAGATGTCCAAGCTCACCCTCGACCGGTCCTACAGCATTCGCACGGCCGCGCCCGAAATCTTCTTGGACAGGGACCCCTTCGCGCCGGAACTGCAAGATGTTTTCAAAATCGGGTAAGTAAAAAAATAAATAAAGCGTACCAAGGGCGAGAGTTTCTTTTTGTAATTGATATTTCTGCGCACAGGTATTACTCCCCCTTGCCTGCGCGCTGCCCCGACGGTGTGGTGGCGTTCCTCTGTTCCATTAAGGACAACGACCCCAACAAGTTCAACTTCGTCAACTGCATCAAGGTGTCCCTCATGGTGCTGGACCTGGTGCAGCTCCGCGACGGCCCCGTCCCGGGCTACCGTCTTATCCTGGACATGAAGGGCACCAACATCGCCCACGTCGCCAAGATCAACTTCGCCACCATGAAGCGTGCGCTCGACTATCAGCAGGTAGGCACCGCAAACAACCACAAAATGACGAACCTCAATTTGTTTACGCCGCCCATCCCACCATCGTCCTGTCTCAGGAGGGGCTGCCCGTCAAACTCAAGTCCGTCCACGTGATCAACGCCATCCCTCTGCTGCACCAGATCCTCGCTCTTGTCAAGCCCCTGCTCAAGCCGGAGACAAGGAACATGGTGGGTCACCCTCAGATGCATGATGTTCCGTCCCTCTTCTGCGCTTGTTGCGCGTTGGGTCCACGTCCAATGATGCCTCTTCCTTTGCAGCTGCACGTGCACACCGAGGCCCAGGTCCAGAAGTTCTACGAGTACGTCCCCAAGGAGCTCATGCCCAAAGAGTACGGCGGCGATGCCCCTTGCCAGGACGACCTGAACGGTGAGTGCTCCAGACTTGCATTCGCTGGAGGGTGATGGGCCGAAGCGCGCAATCAATGGAGGTCTATCCGGCAAGGCAGGCGATCGTTTGTGGTCCAGGTCTAGCCATGAATAGCACAGCGACAGCTAGCACCTGTCGGCTCCAAGGTAGGCCAGCCCGCAGGCCACGTGAGCCGTGCGGTACGGCCTACCCCAGCTCCACAGGCGTTAGCGCCCCACGGCCTCAGGGTAGCCCGCAGGCCACGTGTGCATTACGGCACTGCCTGCTCCACAGGCGCTAGCGCCCGGCAGCTTCAGGGTAGGCCAGCCCGCAGGCCACGTGTGCATTGCGGCACTGCTTCCCCAACTCCACAGGCGCTAGCGCCCGGCAGCTTCAGGGTAGGCCAGCCCGCAGGCCACGTGTGCATTGCGGCACTGCTTCCCCAACTCCACAGGCGCTAGCGCCCGGCAGCTTCAGGGTAGGCCAGCCCGCAGGCCACGTGTGCATTGCGGCACTGCTTCCCCAACTCCACAGGCGCTAGCGCCCGGCAGCTTCAGGGTAGGCCAGCCCGCAGGCCACGTGTGCATTGCGGCACTGCTTCCCCAACTCCACAGGCGCTAGCGCCCGGCAGCTTCAGGGTAGGCCAGCCCGCAGGCCACGTGTGCATTGCGGCACTGCTTCCCCAACTCCACAGGCGCTAGCGCCCGGCAGCCTCAGGGTAGGCCAGCCCGCAGGCCACGTGTGCATTGCGGCACTGCCCACAGGCGCTAGTGCCCGCGCCCGACGGCCCCAGGGTAGGCCAGCCCGCAGGCCACGTGAGCCGTGCGGTGCTGCCTTCCCCAGCTCCACAGGCGCTCCCCGCCTTGACCTTGCTAGCTCCATTGTCAAACCAGTTCGCCATTCATTCCTTTCTTTTCATTAGTCATTAGCATTCGGCAATTTGATTTTGTTCTTTCGTCTGCGGCGACGTCGTTAAAGAAGTACTCCAGAGTTGCGTCTGTTCACCGCCGAACCTATTGACCCTAATCTGTTTTCAGTGTTTGAATGGCCCTGCTCATTTTTCTTGCTTCTAGACTTGGTCAAGACCGGCCTGGAGCAGATGGCTCCGTGGTTCAGAGAAGAGGAGCGACTTCGCGTCACCGAGTCCCTCCGTCCCGCGCGGTCCCGCGGCTACCAGTCCGCGGAGTCGTTCGGCTGCAACGGATCCTTCAAGAAGCTCAACCTCGACTAAGTGGCAGTCAATATTTTCATCCAAAGATGTCATAAGATATTTCAACGGACGGATATATGGGTTTGGAAATAGGGCCAGTATCGCTTTTTGGAAGTCTGTTTGCTCTCCATGTGAATATAATTTTAATTAATGATAAGTTACTATATTTTGTATATTTTTGTTCAAAAATAATGGCAGTCTGATTTTGCTTCAATGAAGGAGAGTTCACTGTTTTTGAGCATTTATAGAGGGTTTTATTATTCGTTGTTGACATAGATCTTAAGTGCTCAAGATTGAGTACAACAAAAACAACAAAATACCAAACAAGGCACACACTTCAAGTTCATTTTTCCATCAATCTGACAATATTTAGATACAGCTATGTCATTTCCAAGAATTTGCCTTGTGCTTTGGAAGGAAATTGAAGCCCTCAGGAACTTTGCCAAGTAACATTTCACTGTCAACAAAATAGAAAAGTTATGTAGCAAGTCCAGAGTAAATTTTATATTCTCCCTTTTCCCAATAATGCAAAAAATTCATTACCTTATTTGAATCCAGTGAGCACAGTTAGGGCTAGCCATTAAAGTTTCCAGCTCATCTCTCCCTTTGAACACTGGAGGCCTATCATTGATTTTCTGCGGTGGGCATTCCAAAATTCCAACAGGAATATACCGATGAAGAAATGAAATCCACTCTAGAAGGAAGCGACGAGTACTTTCAACTCCCTGTAGACAGAAAAACACATGATTAGAGGCAAGTCCAAATGATTCAGAAACAGTACTGTGTATTTTACTTGCAAACAAAGATGGGAATAAGTACCTTGGTATCACTACCCCAGTGTTCCAGACCATAGTTAACATATTTCTTCATAATATCTAATCTCTCCCTGCTTGATATATCCCATAATCTCTGTTCCTTGATCTCAGTGAAGATCCAAGGTTTTATCAAAGCCCCACGACCAATCATCACACCTGATATATTTTTATAAGTATCCTGAGAGAAAAATTAAAAATTAACATAGAGAATATTAAGTACAAATTATTGCTCAATTAACTTCACATACAATGACATGTTTATAGTCTTCATACGACATAATGTCTCCATTGCCAAACAAAGGAACGGGATGCGCAATCTTCGCACACTCATCAATATAATCCCAATCAGCAAGTCGTGTGTAACGTTGCTCTCTGGATCGCCCATGAACCTAACGACACATTAAATATGAAAAATTAATGGAGGAAAAATGGACACAATATTCAGGAGGGACACAGAAAACTTCCTCTACCAACTTACTGTTACAAGAGAAGCCCCTAAATCTCTGAAGTAAGGCATGAAGTTGTGAGCAATATTCTTCCCAGTCACTATTCCCGCTCTAGTCTTAACAGTGAGTGGAATAGTCATAACTTTGTTCATAGAATCTATAATTGACTGCAAAACCTTCTCTCGGTGCATGAGGCCACTTCCCGCTCCCTGAAAACATGCATCATGTGTAAAAACTTTTCTTAATAAAACAAGTTTCCCATGGAATCAATCATCTCATCAACAGTACATAAAGTCACTCATCCCAAGGCCCATATAATAATAAATTCTTACCTCTTGATACACAAGATCAATGGGACAACCCATGTTTATGTCAATAAAATCAACTTCAATGTTTTCCTGCAGAACCTGGGCACTTTTTGTCATTGTATATGGATTGTTTCCACAGATCTGTTGGATATGGCAAAGAGAAGTCAAGCTTATTTTTAAATTATTGTGAATGTGAAATAATTAATACTCTTGCAAATTACCTGAACTCCAAAAATATCCTCTGACTCATGTCTCTTCACAAGTGCCCATTCCTGGTTCAGACCTTGCAGTAGTGAGGAGGCCATGGCCATTTCTCCACATGTCACATCCACTCCATATTCCTTGCAAATGCGTCTGAAGGGAAGGTTACCAACAGTAGTCAGAGGACTCATAATCAGCTTGCCACGCCAGTCAATCTGATGTCACAATTTTAAAAAAAGGAAAAAGTTTTAATTTTTTTTTTAAAAGGAAGATTTTAACATATAACATGAGTGTACACAGCATTGCAGATTACAAAATTCACACATTTGCTTACTGTTTTCTTTTCTGCAGGTTTCAACTTGATGGTGTCGTCATCTAGAACTGGCCCAATTTTCTCAGAGACATTATTTACTTCAGAACTAGGACTATCTTCCACTTTCTTGGTACTTCCATCACATCCTGTTACTCCAGCAACTGCCTCAAGTTTGGGGGCTTCCTTCTTAATTTCACCCTCACAAGTGCGCTTGGAGCCTGCTTTAATTATATGATTACATTAGTAAAGTGATAGGATAAAATGATGAGAGTTGCACAAGTATATCAAATCACCTTTAGATTGTGTCTTGGATACTTCTAAAATTTTTTCACTTTTGCTAAAGTCATACAAACGCTTTCTCAGAGATACTTGAAGGTCTTTGGTCAAGGCATTTAAGGTAGGTGGAGAAGAACGGGAGGAAAATTTCTTCCAAACATCTTCATTTATTTTGTTGAAGCCATTTTCAGTTATGTGACCACTGCCAAACCTGAAATGTAAAGATGTCAGGCATCACTCTATTTAATATTAGAATGTTTTGCTATGTAACCTTTTCCTGGATAACACTGAAAAAATAAGCATACAAACCGGCAGTTAATACCACGAGGACAGCGACCTCTGACTTCAAAATTGTAACATGTGGTCCCTATATCAGGTGGGCGTATGGCCATGAATGCCTTAATGTCATGGATGCTGAAGCATCTTGCATTGTTGCATGGTGCTGGAGTCTCCCCCTCAACAATATCAACAAGGGTATGGCACAAAATTTGTTCTCGATCGACTTTAAAAGGGGGGGGACGAGCCTTGTTTTGTCCTGTAAATTCAAACAAATTTGCCATTGAAATATGACTTAAAATACACTACTAACCCAAAGAAATAACAAACTAACCAACCTCTGAGTTTCTTCTTTTCTGCCTTAGATAAACGTTTAAAAGCGGGCTTGTCTGAAAGACCTCCAGAATTCTGTCCCGACTCTTTCCCATTTTCATCAACCTCAGTAGCACCATTATTGGCAGAGCCACTAGCAAACTTATCCTTGTCAGCTTGAGACAGACAATCTTCAGCAAGATGAGGAATATGGTCCGGATCAAGAAACCTAAAACGTAAATGGATACACACAGCTTTAAATTCATGACACATACTTATGCGAGGTTAGGTACATGCCGACAAGGTATTGAAACATGTTTCGTTTCGTACATACGATGAGTCAATAATACTTGACAATGTAACTTACTCGGGTTTTATACGAGCAACGCCCTTGGGTTCGGAGGTGTCTTTGACGGTGCCTGGATCTGCCATTTTCCGCTGCCGAAAAAAGTTAGTGGCACGGGCACGACGACAAGTGCACACACACACACACTCACACACACAAACTCCACACGAGGAAGGAGCAGACGACAAGCGTTTTTATTGGTTTGATTGCATTCAACTCAACCGGCTTTCAAGATGCACCCTCACTTTCGAGGGACGTATTTGTATTCAAGGTGTCCTAAGACACTTAAAGGCTAACAAACGCATTTACGCACTATGTGCCTTTATTTCGTAGAAAAATGAACTAAGAATTTCATAAACGGCGCTGTTACTCCATTCCAGGCTGTTAACGCACTCACATAAATTTTCCAGGCAACACAGAACAAAGAGAACCCAGGAGATAAAATGTGCAGCTCATCAATCATCTCCAATTTTTAATATTTTGAAGAGCTGCCGCTGACCAGCTCGAGAGAAGGAGCCAGTCGTGATTTTGTAAGGCATCTTTCCACCCATTTCACTCCGCGCCGTTGGCTGTACCGTCCTCGTCTCCGTCCTTTGTCATCCCGAGTGCCTGGCGGCTTTCCGACCCGAAACCCAAACGAGTCCCAACCTGCCCGAACATTTTGCTTTCGTTTGTCGTAACCGATCTGCTTCTTGCCTGTTGAAGAGCCATCGTTTTATGGATTTTGTTTTGAACTTCGTTGATTCAGGTTAGCTTTTTATCAACGACTGCCTTGATGCTAATGGCACCGAAATCGGAGAATTTTTAACCGTGTTGAAAATAGGCTTCTTTGTCATGTGTCTTTGTCTTACCTTGCCACCTTCTTGCAGAATGGCGACATTGAATAAGCTGTCTTTGTCGGGCGTTCGAAGTTTCGGTCCCGATGGCACTGACGAGCAGCGGATCTACTTCGACAAGCCGTTCAACCTGATTCTGGGGCGCAATGGGTGCGGCAAGACGACCCTCATTGAGGCGCTCAAGTACGCCTGCTCCGGCACCATGCCGCCCGGCCAGGGCGTCAACTTGGTGCGAGACCCCAAGCTGGACAAGCAGTCCGAGGTCAGTTGCAGTTGTGAGAGCAGGCTTCCGCACTGAGATGCTACAAGTTGTTGGTGGACTACGACTTGTCTCGACTGACATCTCGACACAGTTGGATGCAATATTCATGGTGGTAAAGGTCGCAGTTGTTTGAATTTATCATTTCTTCTTTTCCTTTCTCACAGACTCGAGCCCAGATTAAACTAAATTTTCAGAGCGGCCGGGGAGAAAACTGCACCATGACTAGGAGTATGTCATCTAAAATTAAAGGAGGGAAATCGCTTGAGTTCAAAACCGTGGACACAGCAATTCAAATCATGAAGAATGGAAAGGTATATCTTATTCGAAAGTGTGACTGTAAAAAGGGTTTTGCAAAGAGTGGTTCCTCTCTATCAACATGTTCTCATTCTTCTTCCTTAAAGCCTGAACAAATGACTGGGCGTTGCGTTGATATGGATGATCTTATGATCAAGTTGTTGGGTGTATCCAAACCCATTCTCAATTATGTCATATTTTGTCATCAAGAGGACTCTCATTGGTATGAATTGAGGATTTTCCTTGTATATAAATTTTACTCAGGCACTGGTAATTTGTTTTTGCTTAACTCTTGTTTTAGGCCATTGGATGAAGGAAAGAAGTTAAAGGAAAAATTTGATGAGATATTTGATTCAACCAAATATAACAAGTGTATGAATGAGGTCCGGAAGCTCCGCAAGGCAGCTCTTGATGGTAAGGGATGATGCTACTATAAGTCTGAGTAAAGGGAATGCAGGGAACTTAACTCAACTGTGTACTAACTTGTCTCTTTACATCATAAGCTGGTTGTGACAAAGAATTTGTGATTGGTTTATCTGATTCTATTGCTTAGCTCATGGTGTCATTTTCTCTTTGCTAGATAAAAAAGTGTCTGAAGTGAGCCTTAGGCATTTGGAATGTGATGTTACCACTTTGAAGCAGAAGAGGGGAGAGCTTCTACTTTTAAATGAACGCTTCGCAAATATGGAAAAGGATCTAGAGGCACTTCATGCTCAAAAATCTCTTTTTGAAGAAGAGTATGATGTGTGGCACACCAAATATAAAGATTATGGGAAGATCAAAATGGAGAGGGGTGAGCAAAGTCTTTTACCTATAAATTTGTTACCAGTCATGATAAAATGTTTTATAATTTTGTGTTTGTATTTTAGATGATGCCAAGACTCAGTTAACCCAGCTTATGTATCAGCAGGAAGCAGAGAAGAAACATATTACTCATTTGTTCACGGGATCAGAAGAAGACCTTCAAATTGAAATAAGAAGCTTTGATGACCAGCTACAGCAAAAGAAGGAAGCTCATACACAAATCCAGGAAAAAATTGAAAGGTTGTCTGATACAGAGTCACAGAAGAAGACCGAAAGTTTAGACATTCAAAAGCTAATTTGCAAACTAGAGGCTGATAAGGAACAGGAACAGAAAACCAAGAACGATAGAAATCTAAAGCTGTCTAATCTGGCAAGGTCCTTTGAACTGTCAGGGTTACCTGCAGATGCGACTGAAGAAGACGTGGATGATCTGCATGATCAGGTTAAGAGAAAATTTCAGATCTTGGTCAACTCCATTAGTGCCAGGAAGCTCCAGCTAGAAAAGGAGCAGAATGATCTGCAGGAAGAAATCAACAAGTGTCTTCAGACCATAGCAAAAATTGAGTCAGAAATACAAGTAAAAGAAGACAATGTGTTATCAAATGATACAGAAATTCAAACTCTTAAAGATAAATTGAGGTCTGTGAATGAGCGTCTTAGAAAGAAGCAACAAATCGACAAAGATCTTGAAGTTTGTCGTGAAAGACGTGATAAAGCCAGTAAAAATGAAGATTCTGAGGCACTGAAGATCAAAATTGATGAGCTTCAACATTTATGCTCAAGTTTGGAGGAGCGTCAAAACGAACTATCGAGTGAACTAGTGGAACTCTTCAAATACCGAGATACTCAAAAAAGTTTGCAAATCCAAGAAGAAAAGCACAAGGATGCTCTCACTCAAATTCAGCGATTACGTTGCCAAAATGAAGATTCTATATCTAAACTTTTGGGAAATTCCACTGATGGTACATTGAAGCAAGATTTTGATAGTCTTGAGTATAAATTGGTAAGTTCTTATTTTAATGACAAGTGCCGTTGGCTGGTGATATGTTTCATTTCTTGGACTAACAGCTCCTTTCTTTGTTTTCTTTTAAATATCATGCGCCATTCATGTTCAGAAAAGTGACATTGACCAGTTAAAAAAGCTGAAGAGTGATAAAACCGGTGAAATTTCAACTCTCGACCTCAATAGGAATCATAAAAAAAGCTCACTAGAGAAAAAGCAGGCTGACTTGGAAAGAAAGAAAGAATCTCTGTTTAAACTCTGTGGTAAAAAGAAGTTGGATGAAGTTCTGCGTGCAATTGAAACAGAAATGGAGTCACATCAGGTTTGTACAAATAATTACATTGTGCGTCTACATTTTATGCTTTTTCTTTTTATTTGTGACTGCTTATATTTTACTGTTTTTAGAATGATAAAGGCCTGTTCAATTCCACCCAAATAGTCCTTAGTGGATATGTGAAACAATTGAAGCAGAGAGATCCTTGTTGCCCACTGTGTCATCGGCGCTTTTCTAATGACCATGAATCATCTGATCTTGTTGATGAATTAAATGGAAACATGAATAACTTGCCTCATCGAGTGGCGGAACTAAATGAGAAACTTGCCAAGTTGCAACAGAAGCAACGTGATCTGCTTCAGTTAAAACCGGTTGAAAAAGATGTTATAGAATTGGAGTCTGAAATTCCCTCTTTGCAGTATGAACTTTTAAAAATATTTTATTTGTTTCAGTATAAAGCTTTTAGATTTCAAAAAATATCAGATTTTAAATTTCTCAATTTTTTTCTATATTTTCAGAAATGATGTCTTAGGGTTAGAAGGTGTAATAGATGCCACTCGAGAGGAACTTTGTGATGTGGAAGAGAGATTGCAGAGTCCTGAAGCTGACCTGAGAACTGCTCAAGACATTCGGATGGTAATTTTTGATATCGATCGTTATCATAAGGAGAGTAAACTTTGCACTCGGCAAATCGAAAGGTTTAAGCAGGATCTCTCTCATCTTGGTTCAACTTCTCGCACATCTGAACAATGTGCAGCTGAGCAACAGGTAAAGTTATAAGAAGAGGTCCTCATTGTTATTAAGTCACACAGCTGAGGTTTTAGCACCTAATTTCTTCTGTAGTGTTTGCTCAATCAATTTGTTGTTTATTTTCTCAGCAAATTTCTGATGAACTTTCTGCTACACGCACTGAAAAACGTGACGTGGAAAAACGTCAAAGAGAATATTTAAACATTCTTAATGATTTTGATCAACAAATTAACAAACTAGTGGCTCAGCAACTTGAAATCAAAGAATTTGTGCAGCAAGAAGATGCCATGAAAGAGCGTCTGACTGAACTGTCACATGTAAATGATACAATTCAAAGTGAACTTAAAGATCTGAAACAGAAATTAAAACCTGCTTTTGATAAGCATAGAAATGCTGAAGAAGTTTTGTATACTATGAAAAAGACACACAAGCGGGAGCTTCAGGAGATGGAAAATAAGGTAAGGGCTTGCTCCTTAACTCTTAGTGCAGTTTTAAGTGTATCTTTCTAAGAAAACGTAACCTGTTTAGAAACAAGAAAGAGAAATGAGTATCAGATTGCTGTCTCAAACAAAAGAGACATTAAACAATTTGAGGCGTCTCAAAATTTCAGAAACTCTGGAATCAAACAAGAAAGCACATCAGGAGCTGGTGAATGAGATTAATCAGTTAGAGACTAAACGAAATGATCTAGCCAAACAAAGCGAAGACTTGAAGGAAACTTTAGGGGAGCATGAGGTGAGCAATTTATTGTAGCAATTACAGAATTTCTAGCAAGCAACTGTTGGAATATTTTTGACACTGTTTTTTTTTCTTCCAGAAAAGGAAAAAGGAGTTGGAGGGTAATATGATTGTATTAAGACTGTCTAAACAAATAAAGAAACAGGAAAAAAAGTTGGAAATGGCTGAAAGGAAGTTAGGTGACACAGATGCTCATGGTATTGCAAACAAAATTCATGAGATACAAGCAAAGATATCTGATGTTAACTGCCAGGCAAGTTTTTAGCAATTCTATTTTTACTTAATTTAAAAGACATCGAGGAGTCTGACATTTTATATAACCAATCCTTTTTCTTAGGTAAATGAACTGAAAGGTAATAAACGAGGCCTTGAGGATAACATAAAATCAAGAAAGGAGGAACTTCAAGAGGACCGCTACAGGAATGCTGAACGGAAATACAAAGAGAAATTGGTGAAACTCACTGTAAGTACTAATTGTTTGCTGTCTTCCCCTTCTGAATCTAAGATTGCACTTATGAATTCCACGACATTGTGCATTTGTGAGTTACTGTATTTCAATAATAATGGATCTTTTATATTGTAGGGAATATTATTTCACTGCTGTCAAGTTTAAAATTGAAATTAAATGGTCTTGAAATTTCAGGTTCTAATTCATACAGAAAAGGACCTACAGAAGTACTACAATGCTCTTGACGTTGCCATGCAACACTTCCACAGAGACCGCATGGCATCTGTGAACAAACTCATAAGGGAGTTGTGGCGGCTCATTTACAGAGGAAATGATACAGATTACATTGAGATCAAAACTGATGAATCGGGTAATGAGAACGAAACTCTGTTGCTGTTGCTACTTAATGTATTAAGTTCATTTTTTCATATGCTTATTTGAATTCTCAATTACAGCACTTGGTGCTGCTTCCAATGCCTCTGATAAAAAAAGAAACTACAACTACCGTGTAGTTCAAGTGAAAAATGGCACTGAAATTGACATGAGAGGTCGTTGCAGTGCTGGTCAGAAGGTTCTAGCATCCCTCATAATAAGACTTGCATTAGCTGAGACTTTTAGTGCAAACTGTGGCATTCTGGCCCTTGATGAACCAACCACCAATCTGGATAAAGATAACATCCGAAGTCTCTGCCAAGCTATTGTTGAGTGAGTCCTTTGGAATCAGGATGCATCCATCCAACTGTTTGGCCTAATTAACTCATTTCTGTTTTCACCAATTGCAGAATTGTTCATGAGCGCGAACACACTACTTCTTTCCAACTGATATGCATTACTCATGACCACGAATTTCTGGATATGATGACTGAGATGGATTTCTTCTCACATTATTGGGAAGTTTCTCGAGATCACCGGTAAGTGACACGAACATACTCTCCGAATCCTACACATGTAGTGAAATGGAAAGACAAGTATGCACATGTCTTTAAAAATATTATATTTTCATATATTTTTTTAAAAATATAATGTTTTACATAATATCTTGATTCTTTGTATTTTTTTTATTTCAGGAGTAAATCAGTCATCAAAAAGAGAGAAGTTTTCAAATCATAAGAACTCCCCTGTAATCTCTGCGTGTGGTCTTAACTTCTGTTTTATTTCACACCCTTTTTTTATCTGTACAAATTGTCTTTCAAAATGTTGCAATGTTTATTGATTAAATGTTTGATGTTCCTTGAACATCTGCACAAGCATCATATGCCTCATCTCGCTTCATTGGTTCACAATATACCAAACCATGAGACCCTTTACTTTTATATTCGGTCATGAAAGGTAATTCAAGTAAGGAATCCTTGTATGTTTTCAGGAGATAAACCCACCCAGTTATCTCAGTTTTAACCATCCCATTTTTAAGTAGGAAATTTCTCTTTTCTCTGACATACCATTCTGGATAGTCCTCTAGTATATCCAGGTTTTTCAACATAGTTTCATCTACCTCATAGATTTCTCCTGTGACCACCTGCAAAAGAATTGTAATAATAAAATCAGATATTCCCTACATGTAACAGTCTCAGCTGTACAATCCATAATCTATTATTACCTTTCCCACTCCGGGTTTATCAAGAAGAAATGGTATGTTGTATCTTGAAGCTATGACCAATGGGTATTCCTGTGTGGTTGTTGCTTGTCCAATTAATTTAGCTGAACCATTTTCTTTGTTGGTCAACCAATGCTGATTTGGCTCTCCTTCTTTAAGTGTCCCATAAACAAACACTTTATGTTTTTCACTCTCCATTTCCCTTGTAACAAGAAAAGAAGTGAAGCTGGAACAAAGCTCTGGACTTAGTGGTTCACTCTTTCACCTTACTCACTGGAGAGATAGTACTCGAGGGTCACGAGAGAGTCGTTCAAAGCCGGCTATGAGAAATTTCTAGGTTGCCTCGGAAGTCCAGTGTCTAAGTTCTATATTTACTCTAGACCGTCAAAGAGAGAACTCATTTTCGTCGATGAATTGCAACCTAATGTTGCTTACTGTAAAGTACATCCCCAAAGAGCTATGTCGGTGAGGTTATATCTGCGTGGCAGCCTCTACCGTGTCTCACTTTCTTCCTGTCCCTGTCCCACAAGGCTGGGTAAATGAACGATGTGGGCATATGGAAGTCCCATTTAGGTTAGTTTGCCGCCTTTTTGTTGCGCCCTAAAACTCGGCGATTTGCTTCACTTTTTACTCAAAAACTTTCTCTCTCGCAGATGACAGGCTGAACGATTCAAGATTATCATAGATTGAAAATCGAAATAGGACACAATGAAACATAACCTGCACGACTGCACTTTGCTCTATTGGAGTTAACAGTGAAAGTGTTTCACTAGAACGAAAAAAATGTTGCTAAGAACAAACTTGACACAAATTTTGAGTTACAGTTATGCTGAAAGTAGCTGTTTCTAAAAAGTGCAAATGGGTTTTCACTGCTATTCCGTTTGTGAGCGCTGGTCTGTTTGTGTTTCGGCTCTTATTTACCTCAGTTTCCTTGGTCTGGTGTGGACATTGGCACTTCCCCTGCGTCCACTTAATCCCATCCATGGCTTCTCTGAGGATAACCACATTACAGAAACACTGTTAGGTCGACCTCCAGACCATCTAGAGGGAGTAAGAATAGAGAGAGATGGTGACATAAATAAGAATTTTAGGAAAGAGATTTTTATCGGAGAGGGAGAATTTGAAAGAAGAAAAGAAGAAGATCCAAAAGAATTGCTTGAAGATATATTTGCCAGGTATTTTAAATTTAAAGTGCAGGCCTGCCCTGGCTTTTCTATTAGTTGACCCTGCATTGTGTTCTTCCAGAGCGGACACCAACAATGACAGTTTTCTTGTCCATTCGGAACTGTCTCACTGGATTGAAGCCAAAATTCACCAGCACATAAATCAAGCTCATGCAGAAAATTACATCCTGTTTGCAAGTGTGGATGTGAACCCACGAAATGGTATTTAACTAACTCAAATAAATTATTTTCTTGAAAATTGTATTGAGTTAATTTGTGAATGCATTGCAGGATTGGTTTCCTGGGAAGAATACCACCAATTTTTTTTGAAGCAGAGGGGATACAGTAAAATATATGCAGAGAACCATGACAAACACCACTCAGGTTTAGATAGGAAAACCAAGGGTATGTAGAATGCACACTTATTCATAGTGAATTACTTTCATTTGTGCCTTTCTGTTTATTATCTACTGTGGTTCTGTATTTACATGTGATTACCCTCTCCCTCTCTTTTAGAGGCAATTATGAGAGACAAAGCTGCTTGGTCTGAAGCATCAAGAATGAATCCTGAGCAGTTAACAGTTGATGAGTTTCTTTCTTTCCGTCATCCTGAATCTAGTCATGCCACTATTTTAACTTTAGTTGAAGAGCTGTTTGATAAGTTTGGTGAGTTTTCTTATTTCTCATGTAATGATTGAGCCAATCCTAACTTCTTGGTGTAAAATTATTTTCTTGTCATTTGAAGATCAAAATGGAGATCAAATCCTAACAGAGGATGAATTTTCTCACCTGCAAATGGAGGGAGATGGTGACAAAAGTGGTGAGACCATCAATCAGGGAGAAGAAGACCGCCGCGCTGAGTTTAGGGCAGAAATTGATAAAAATAAGGATGGGAAGGCTGATCGGCGCGAACTTTTGGTAAATCTGCTGAGGCTTTGATTTATCATAAATTATATGAGTTGAAAAGAATTAAGTTTCTTTGTTTTTTTCCTAGATGTACATTGACCCTATTAACCCTCGTCATGCCAGAGAAGAAGCAGAAACCCTGATTGCTCTTGCAGATGTGAACCATGATGGTGCTCTTTCATTGGTTGAAATTCTAAACAAGATGGATTTGTTTCTAGGTAGTAAAATGGTAGACACTGCAAAAAGCTTTCATGATGAATTTTAGTTGAAAGCTTGGTGATTGTATTCTGGATCTCATAAAGGATTATTCCCTCCCATGACCTTAAAGGTATGTATTCAGTACCACTCTGCAAGTTATAGTAATTTTGGTATAATTTTTTACTGATGAATAAAATGCAATGCTGTGCTGCACAATCTGTTGGAAAGATGTGACTGTTTAAAGAAAAAAACATGATGTAGTCTTAATATTATTATTATTATGCCTGTTTCTAGTCTCATTACATAATTTTAAGTTAATATTGGTAATACATGTACTTACATAACTTTAATTGACTCAATACAATGTTTGAAGAAGGGTCCTGTGATTCTTGTTTCTCAGCGAAACAATTTAGTGTGAATGGTACATTTTTGCAAGTATGAACTAGTGAGTTCATGGGAGGCCCATTGGTGATGGGTTTTAAGTTATAATGAAACCTGTATTAGAATAAGCTCAACATTAAGTCAAATTTGGAAAGAAAATTACAAATTAAAAATACAAATTCGCTTAATCCACTTCTTCTGGACGGACAGGATGTGTTAAGGGTATTACTGACTGTCTTTCAACATCCCGTGAACACGCTTTACGCATATCTGTAATTAATTGACAACTTTAATGATTTTAGATTCAGCACTAAAACAGAATAGTCATTAGATTTGAAGTAAAACTCACCATATGCATCTTCATCAGGGTCACCTGAATAGTATTCCAGAACAGTACGATAGATTATGTATCCCAACTGTTTGTACATTTGAATTGCAACTTTGTTAGAAACTCGCACAAAGAGATCAACAAAATATGCTTGTTTCCTGCAAAAAAAATAAGGCAATACAATTTATGATAAATAATGTGTTTATTTGTTCTCACAATATTTCATGGGAAAGAAAGGATTACGAAGTTACTTTTCAGAGGCTTCTTCCAGCCAAGACATAAGGGTAGCAGCCATCCCAAGACGTCGATAGTCAGGAGATACAGTGAGAGCAGTTACATGCCCATGCCAGTTTTCGCCCATTCCTTCTGCTTTACCCATGACTGCAAAGAGACAATAAATAAAAAATTATGAAGAAATTTTAATTGTTGAATGACAAATTTCAAAACTCACTGTAACCCATGATTTCTCCACTTGGAGATTCAGCTATCTGAAAATGCTCTGGCCAGTGTGCCAGATATTGCATGTAAAATGGTAGACCAAACTAGAATGTTAAGAAAGATACAACAAAATCAGCTGATGCGTGAGTTGATAAACAAACAGTAAGATTCAATTAACGTTTGAAATGAGAACAAATAACACTTTTGCAATCATGCAACTTGGAGTATTTTGTAGACATTGACAACCATGAAAGGATACAGTTTCCGTCAATGGATCAAGGTTCCTGTAAACAAAAAACAAAAAAAAAAAATGGTGCTGAGTTGAGGAACATGTGAGAATGGGAACCAAAACATTTCAGAAAAACTTACACATTATTAAACTTTAGGAGGTCCATGCAAGTAAATGGCCGAAGAGTAGTCATGTTTGGGCACAGATAACCTGTACAAAATTATGCTGTATGCACAGTTCACTTGTTGTCATGAACTTATCAAGTACACTGAAGGGTCACTAACGTTAATCAAAACGTTAATGATTTCGAAAAATAATGAAAACGGACCTGTGCAGAGATGAAAGGGCCGAAATAGCGTTACAAACTGGAGGTTTACAAAAAATCCATTCACAGCGCCCAGCAGCAGGCGAGGGGGAGTAGAGGCCCGAGGTGGGCTCTAAATGCAGGGCCGCTTTGTGGGCTTATTTTCAGCCTTGTTAAGCTCTAGAGAGGCAAAAACTTGGGCTTGGATTAAAGCTAGAGGCTTGAACTATGCCCATGTGGATTTATTTTAAAACATTAGGGTAGAAAATATTTGCACTCTCCTTACAAAGTCGTCACAACACCTTTCTGACCATGGTCGGTGATTCGAAGTCACCGCCTGCTAACGGCTTAAAGAAGTCCGACTTTGTAAGGAGAATGCAAATAATTTCTACCCTAATGTTTTAAAATAAATGCACGTGGTCACAGTTCAAGCCTCTGGCTTTAATCCAAGCCCAAACTTTTGCCCCTCTAGAGCTTAACAAGGCTGCAAATGAGCCCACAAAGCGGCCCTGCAGATAGCGCCCGACGCGGATCTTCGCCAGACACTGCAGTCGACCCCCGCCGCTGCTTCCTTTTTTGTCATTTTAAGGTTTAAAACCGGCTAATCCGTGATAAAAGGGGTTCGATTTACTCAAAAATGTCTTACTGAGTGCGCCTCAATATATATGTTTGCTTACATGTCCTTTAATTCTGAGTATTTTCGTTTTTCCAAATTCCTACCGACCATGGTCAGAACGCCAGGCCCAGCGTCCGTTCCCGAGCCGAAGGCATTTATAATTCTCCTGCCAGCAGAAACGTCAGGCAGGCAAACACCGGCACATCGTATGAAAAATTCAGACGGAAAAGTTGCCCAAATTTATGAAAAAAAGAAAGGGCTGTAGTTGTGGTTTCTGGATTTTTATTGGTTCTCGAAAGGATTAATTAAGACAAAAATGGTTGGAGATACTTAAAATTATAAAGTGTTTTACAGAAAAGAGATAAATATTTAATACTGCAAACTTCTTTTAGTCTGGATGTCATCAAGTATCTGACGCAGTTCCTCATCTTCAAATCGCCCCTCCAAACTGGAAAAGAAAACAGCAGACACAAACTTGAGCATCATTTCAATAAGTTTAAACCCAGGCACAATAACTCAAGCCCCACAAAGAATCACTTACCTGGGTACCAATGACTTTGCCTCCTCAGGAGTTTCAGGACACAAGTTTGCTAACGATGCTAACTCAAATTTGTGCAGCTTTTTCTGCATGAGAAGACTAGAACAAAGCAAATAGAGTAACAGTTAGTGATAATTGATTTGAAAAAGAGATATAAACTGAGCTAAGTACTTTAAAATACATCCCACAACATGTGGCACCAAACTTACTTTCGAACAGATGAAATTGTTTCCTTATTTTTGAACTTCCTGAACCTTTCTGTGTATGTAAGTGTCTTGTGAAATACTTCAGAAAATTCTTGCTCTTCTTCTGCACTTTCATTCTGAGCTTGACGATGCTCTAACAGCATATGAACTTCTGATATCAGAAGTGTTTCTGCATTTTCAAACTCTATACAGGAAAGAAAAAGAACATGATGTAATTTAAATGTAACAAATTTATTCAATCCAGGGGGTCATTCATTTTTATAAAGTGAAAAAGCAATCAGGAAACAAAGCAATGTATCCTTCCAAAACTGTGTACTGCATTAGCTCTTTCAGGCTATAGGATATGATAAACTCCATTTTAGCAACAAATTCATAGGCGATGACAGAAAGGACCTTGTGATGTGGAAGACAGGGTGATGTATTGTTTGTGTGAAGGGCTGGATTGAGTGATAGGTGATTAGGAAAGACACATAACATAAGGAGTGAAAATATAAACAGCCTTTATTCACGTGTTGATAAGTCCCACATTAACTATACTTTTACTTTCACATGCTATCATGCCAGTCATGTAAAACACAAACAAAAAAAACATGGGCATGACACGTATTTCCAATAGAAACAAAATGTTGATAGAATCTTAAGTATAGAATTTGTAACAAGTAACTTTTTTCTTTTTTAAATTAAGATCCTTGCGTAAAATAGCCCTCATTTAGCAAAAAATCATAAAGTTTTCTAGTTTTGTTGACATCAATTTTTATAAGAACTCGTGCTTGAGCTAACTTCAAAGAGCTACCAGGATGTCGACGGCTCTCTGTAACAAGGATATCTCTAAAGTCAAGAAATGAAAGAGGAGCAAGGCGAAGATTTGAACATAATTCTCTTTCTGAAGGGGTTAACTTCTCATAGCCTGGTAGTGTCATAATGTCAAGAGGTGGAGGTTTTTTCCTTGGGGCTGATGTTTGTAGGGGCACACTGGCAATACTGTTGCCACCCCAGGGGAGAGAGGCAGCACTTAGGGATGGCATATCCTTCTTAGCTTGATTGCGGAATTCACTTAAGTAGCAGAAGATCCTGTGAGCCCTATGATTTGTAATGCCTTTAGCTCTGAGTTCTTTTAATTGTTTGATTTTTGCTCTAGTTTCTCCCATAACATGAAGACTTTCCATTAAGAAATCAAATCGCTTCCCACTTAAGATGCGCATGAGGCCAGTTATCTTCTCAGCAATCTCCCTCCCTATAGTATTCTGAGAAAAAGACAGAAAACAAAATTATTTCTTTGTCAATGACGGAAAATGAAGTTAAACTTGTGTGTAAACCAAATGCAACCACTGATTTTCTCACCTCAAATCTTTGAAGCCACCCAATAGTTTTCTGCAAAAGAAGTAGGCCATGTTGTCTAATAATTTGCTTTCTTCGTTTTCTCTCCTTAAGTCTCTCGTTGTATGCTTGAACAATGGCAACTTGCATTTCAGTTATAAGTTCATAATCCTTGTCATCAGGTTCAACAGTTTCACAATCTAGCTCTGCCACCATCAATTCTGCATGGTCATCAAATTCAGTTGTAAACTCTCCACGGGCTGCATTGTAGCCTGGGATGAATTGAGTAGCTCGACATTCAAAGAGAGGTCGAGATAAATCAGTCCTTTGAGACTGCTGATGATACTGTCTATAGTAAGGATTTAACTTCAATTTTCGAGAAACGCTATTTTTTTGGCCATGTTCTTCGGCTATGTTCTCTAACTCAATTGGTTTCCGAAAATTAGAAACATATCTATTATAAGGGGTCAAAAGTGTGGGTTGTGCTGCTTCGACTTTCAAGGGGGAAAATGTTTCCCCTAACTGGAGCTGCAGGTCTGAATTTTCCACATAGTAACTAAAATAATGCTTGATGCAGTCTTCTTCACTTCTGGCAGTAAGTTTTTTGGCAACATCAGTCCAGTTACCAGCCCCACATTCAATCATGGATTCCAGCAACACCAGCTCTTCTTTGGCAGTCCAATCACCCAACAGAGGGAATTCATTGCGAACAACAGAGTATTTGTGAAAATTTAGATGCTGGCCTCGTTCTCCACCAATTGCAAAACACTGCGTACAAATCAAAGTGTTGACACACTCAACGCAGTTAATGTACGGCTCGCGAAGCCACATGCCACAAATGTAGCAAGTGTCTGAGGATCGCTCATCAAAATCTGTTTCAGTGACCATGGTGTAGTCTGTAATCAGCCAACAGTTTCCACACTAAATTTGTTGAATGGAGTTTATCATAGCTGGCATAAATTTGACTTAATTGAAAGGCGGTTTGGTAGCAACAGCTGACATTGATATTTTTGGGGGAAAAATACCGTGTCAAAAGACGTCAATATGATAGGTTAGACTACGCCGGTATAAAGTACTCAGCCTACAAACCTTTGGGAAACTGCAAGTCGGCAGCATCCTCGTCAACTAAATCCACAGTTTGAGATGCCATCACAAAGGATTACAAGAATTGAGTAGGTGCGCGACTTGAAATGGATTGAAGTAAACAAATCTTGTTCAGATTGAAGCTGCGGCGAAGCCCTCTTTTTGTCTGCAGTATTCACAGGAGGTGTATAGATGAGTGCGTATACCAGCTTATACGCAGGTCACACACGCGTTCGCGGTTAGACTCAGTCGACTATAGGGTTGTAGCTGTCACAAATTTCACAAGTTTTCGATAAATTTGTACGAATTGTTGCTGACGTTAGCCTCGCGATTTTGTTTATTCAGTTTGCTAATATTACAATTTCATGCCTCTATATTCGTCCGATTGATTCGAGGGAGCAGAATGATGGACGTTGATACGAACGACGAGCCAAAATCTGGTAATGATGCAGGTGCGATTGGCGAAAATGTTGAATTGGAGAATTTACAGGCTCAACCCACCGCTAAAAAAAGAAACAGGAGGAAAGAAAGGTCGCGGAAGAAAAAGTAAGTATTAGCCTTTGATATTTTGTTTAAATTATCCGCTTTTCTCATAGTTTTGAATTTTTGTTTGGAAATTTCTCATTATTGTGTAATAATGAGTTGTGTGAATCACTGTAATCTCATGTAAAATTTGTTTCTCAGGCCAGATTTAGAGACCGATCAGTCAGCGGCTATTGCTACCCAGATGGAAGCTGTACGATTAGATAGCGCATCACCTCAAAATGGGGTTCCTGAATTAAGGAAGGGATCGGAAGGTTCAGCAGCTAGAAATTTAGACGGAGGGGAAAACAGCTCCTCAAAGCTTGTGTCATCAGCAAAGAAAAAGGCCAAAAGGAGAAAAAATGTTGCCTTATCTTCCATTGAGAAACTTTCCATTATCAATGGTACACCTTCAGTTTCTGTGTCAAATGGCAACTCTAATCTTGGTAGAGGACTGCTCACATCCTCTATGACGAATGTTGAGCTTCCAGAATTAAAGGCCTCCAATTCAATGCAAGGAGGACCTCTCTCTAATGGGCCAACAAACCATAAAAGTGCCAAACACCGCAATTCTCCAGATCCTGGGCAGTTACGTGATCAACTAGACACCCGCAGGGGTTCCAAAAATCAACTCCCCCGAAATCGCCAGCGGACATCTGATCAGCAAAGGCCTCATGGTGCAGCAAAGAATAAGGTTTGTTTCTGAATTAAACTTACCTCTTATTTTTGTATCACCAAATCAATTATTCTATGTACTCATTTTCCAGCAAGACCATGGAGGCTCTAGAAACAAAACATTTCAAAGAAAGCATGATCATATTCTAGATGAGAATAAATTTGAGCCTCATTTGCAAAGGGAGCTTGTTCAAGTGATGTTGAAAGAGCAACAGACTGTCGTCAAAGGATTTATTCGTATAAATCAAAGAAATTATCGAGAGGCATACATAAGTAACCCTGATGGCACCAAAGATATTTTGATTGATGGAGTGAAAGATAGAAATCGTGCATTTGAAGGGGATGAAGTGGTTGTTCTCATTTTACCTCAAAGCACCTGGAAACAGCATGAAGGTGCGCTTCAGAAAGTTGGTAAAGTGATTCACATATGGACCCCTGTTCATCATAGACAAGCTGTTGGGAATCTGAAGAGATTGCAAGATGGAAACTCACGACAGGTTCTTTTTTCTCCACGAGATTCACGCATACCTCGAATGCGCATTCCCATCAAAGAGTGTCCTTACAAGCCAAATGAATGGGAAAATTGTTTGTTCCAAGCTCGTATCACAGAGTGGGAAGATGTTCGTTTTGCCGTGGGACGCTTGGTTGGGGACTCCGTTGGAGCGGAAGGGGATATAGAAGCAGAGACCCGAGCTCTTTTGCTTGACAATGAAATCAATTGGATGCCCTATGAGGAGAAATTGTTCAAATATTTTCCATCTACCCCATTTACCCCAGCTGAAAGTGATCTGGTTGGAAGGGAGGACCTAAGGAAACGCTGTATCTTCACCATTGATCCGCTTACAGCAAGGGACCTCGATGATGCAGTTTCTTGTGAAAAGCTCAAAAATGGTAATTTTAAAGTTGGGGTTCACATATCAGATGTTTCATTTTTCCTTAAAGAAGGAACTGCATTAGACAAAGAAGTTGCCAAAAGGGCCACCACTACCTATCTTGTACAGAGGGTAAGTTATCATCCAGCTACTTTTTGATTGCGCTGATGGCTATGCAATTATTTAATTCATTTTATCTTTGACTTTTTACAGGCCTATCATATGCTCCCTAGACAATTGACAATGATGTGCTCTCTTCTTCCTGGTGAAGACAAGTTAGCTTTTTCAGTCTTTTGGGAAATCACACCAAAGGCTGAAGTGGTTTCTCACTATTTTACACGCTCTGTCATAAATTCCTGTGCCCAATTAGCTTATGAACATGCTCAGGTAAATTTTCTTCTGGATTATGGGTAGGTGTGCTTATATATACATTTTAGATAATCTTCTTTCTCTTTCTTAGATTATGATTGATGAGCCTGATCACAATTGGACAGAAGGGGAACTTCCCCAAATTTTTGGCGGGTGGACTGTAGAGGATCTGAAGGAAGTTGTCTTGTCTCTGCAGTCACTAGCTGCCATCATGCGTCAGGAGAGATTTGACTCGGGTGCCCTTCGTGTTGATCAACCTAAAGTAGTATTTCGTCTGAATGAGTCCGGAGAACCCATTTCCTATGCTACTTATGCCAACAAAGAGAGTCACAGGTAAAGAATGCTTCTGACTGCTTCTTTATTCAAGCTCTTTCCATATAAATAAAAATTCTATTGAAAACTATTTCAACTAAATTTTATCTATCATACATTACAGACTGATTGAGGAGTTCATGCTTCTGGCAAATATGACTGTTGCAACAGATCTACAGAATAAATTTCCGCGCTTGGCTTTCTTACGGTGCCATGAAGAGCCCCAACCCGATTTGCTGAAAAAGCTCATTGAACTAGTGGAAAAGTTTGGAATTGTTCTTGATGGATCATCTGCTGGGTCTCTCCACAAATCCATTCAGGGATATTCAACCGACAACAGAACTCGCTTTTTGGCTCTAAACAGTCTCTGTTCTAGGCCCATGGTCGTAAGTATTTATTAGTTAATGTTTTTAGTACATCCTTTGCCATGGAATCTGATCAAATTGTGTCCGCTCATATTTTAGAGAGCAAGGTATTTCTGTGCTGCCAACATCCATGATGTGAAATACATGCGACATTACGCTCTGAATGTGCCCCTCTATACCCATTTCACATCCCCAATCAGAAGATATGCTGATGTAATGGTCCACCGCCTCTTATCTTCACTGTTGGGTTACTGTAATGAACCAAACTGGACTGTTGATTATGTTAACACGTGAGTAATTTTTAAACTTTTTTTCCCTTGTGCAAACTGTTTTAAGGTATTTTAAACTTTTCACGCTTACTGGTTATTTTTAGTATTGCTGCAACCTGCAACAAAATGAAATTTTGTGCCAAGAAGGCGGGTGAACAAAGTTCGGAGTTGTTTTTTGCCATATGGGTAAGGAACCATGGCCCTGTTGAAGAGGAAGTAATTGTTATTGATGTCAAAGATCACTCTTTTGATGCCTTGGTTTCTTCAACTGGAACCAACATTCGTGTTTACACTAATGTAAGTATAAGTGTCGTTTTGTTCAACGAAACCAAGGCATGTCCTGTATGCCAATTTAGTATTGCAAAAATCAACCTCTTTAGTGTCAAACGTCCGGCATGTAACACCTCCTGTTTAAAACATGCATTTTTGCGTATTTCAGACTCTTTTGCTATGTCAAACTAATACCGTAGGATGTGTTCCGTCTTTATTTTACTTCCTTTTTTTATTTTTACAGAAATTGGCTGCAAGTGTAGAGTTTGATAATTCCGTTATACCACAACTTTGTATTAAATGGGCCGTCTCTGAAAATGGCTCCAAATTGACTCATCAAGTGATCACCATGTTTAGTGTTGTTCGTGTTTCCCTTCGGTGCTCTAACACTAATCTCCTGAAGGTGGAGGCATCATTAATTCCTCCAGGGTTTTAAGTACGGAGACCAAATATTACCATCCTCAATGTGATAGATCATGTATTTTTATTTTGCTTTTAGAATATTTTTGTCATTGTACTTAAATATTATGGCCATGTATAGTAAAGGTTTTGGCGGTTTTGGCTCAAAAAGTTTTAATTTAAAAAAAAATTCAGCATGTTAAATTTTTTGCCTGTTTTCCTGAATGATTTTCTCAAATTGTTACTAATTTAAGTCATTTCAAACACCTTGGTGTCCATACTTGTGTCAAATGTTGAATTTCAAATTCCTCCATTTCATAGTACACATCTTGAGAACTCTTTTAATTTTTCAAGTGGTCTTCTCCCTCTCAACCTATTTCCTAAAGTTATGAAATTTTTGTAATAAAACCCTCTACTTTTTTCTGTTTTGTTTTTCCCATTAGAGAATAATTTCATCTTCAGACTTATGGGCCAACAGTGATACAGAAGTGATTCCTATTACCATGCCCCTGGACTACATATGTGATTTTACATGCTTGTGATGTATTTCCTGTTTCTTCTTTCTTTTTAATAGCTTGGTCCCTAGTCCTGTGTTATTCTGGTGGTATCCTCTGTGATCATGTTGATCTCATGATTAAATTTCATTTGTCTACGGAATTTATTTATGTGATATCATTCACGTTATTTAAAGGGTGGTTAAGGTTGTGTTAAAATTAATATAGTTGTAAATAGTCATTTTTGATTGAAGTTTCAAGAGTAACTGATCATTTCAATCCTATCTTTTTCCTATTATTAGCCAATAACTTGGTTATTTTTTGTTTGTTTGTAAATTTAGTCTATGTTGTTATGAATGAATGAATGAATTTTTCTTGTTAATGGAAAAGACTGCCAGTACTGTAACATGTAATTATCCCCTATTGGATATTTTCTTCACTGCCAAGTTTACAATGGCCATCAGTGTACACAAGTGCTCTCGGGAGTGGAAAATGATTTTGTTCCCTCACATTTATTTGTTCTTGTGTCAAATGTGTAGTGCGATATTGGTGATGTACTCCTTTAATACTTATTAGATCAATGGCTTCTTATTTGAACAATCTGTGTCTCTGTTTCATTATCAAATTTCACATTTATTGTGGCTTGCTGCTTCTGTATTTGGTATGATTTCTATCCAGAAGTGCTGTACATTTTAAGTTCGTTTTATTTTCATGACGGTGTGCTTTGTAAGACTAATCACGATAAGATATACAAAATGCTTATAATGTTGGAATCATATGCCTCAGTCTCTAACTTGATTTGAAACTGCTCTAGTCCTTTTTTAGGGTAGATATGTTTGCAACTGAGACACAGGGCCTGTTGAAACCCTTTTGTTATTGCCCTTTTTTGACAAGAAACAATAATTTGTGTCCTTTTTTAAATAAACTTTTCAAAACAAAGTTTGGGTATTTCATTTCACCTCTGCTTATTGTCACCTTCCACGGCCTGCTGGCTTAAGAATAAAGCATGCTCCTATGTCAAAATAAAAGCCTAGGGATCAAGTACAAGTACTTGAAGAAGTTTCTGTTCTGGAACCAAAAGTGTGTGGTGGTGTTCTACTTCCGATAGTGCCTGCCACGAGCAGATAGAGCGCGCTGAGCTTTGCCACTCTCCAGTACAAATATCTCAGGCATCGGTATTGTGAAAATGCCTTTCACTTAATCCAGTTTTTTGCTCTTTGCGTTTTTTGACGCTTTCAAGTCTAGAGGTCCTTGGTGACGTCAAAGCCGACGGTGTCGTGCTCTGACGCCTTCGAATGCCGCGCCCTTTGAACGCACATCCGAATTTCTCATAGCTCTTCTCTTTGTATGAAAAAAACAACATCTCACCCAAATAAATATGGCGCTTGTCAACAAACAGCTGGTCGGACGCTTGCGAGTTAGATCTGCAGGGCATAATCTTTATCTTCTCGCTGTAATCTGTGAACGTGACAGCCACGTCAGCAACTGCAAAATTATGAAACTTTAATTGGTGATCGCTCCTCGCTTGTCGAGTAAGCGGTCTGACTGGCTCGGCTCGTACCAGTAGAGTTCGAAGACGCAATGCAGATGTATTTCTACTCTGTTGTTTGTTAGGGAATTCCTGTTCATAGTTGCTAATCGCATAATTTTTAGACATCTTCACAAGGTATTACTATCACAGGCAGTACTGACCCTTCAATAATAACTTTTTTACGTATTGTCATTCAGCATGATTCAGAAAAGCTGGCCATAGATTATGCATTGATTGACGAATTGATTTTATGAATCTTTGCAGATTGAAGTCATGACCTACCAAGCCGTCATTGTGGGTGCTGGTCCAGCAGGTATTGCTGCGGCGTGTCGACTCTTGGCCAAAGGAGTTGACAAAATTCTTCTTCTTGAAGCTGAAGATAGAATTGGTGGTCGAATTCACACAGTCCCATTTGGTAAAATCTTTCACCCTCTGATTGCTATATCAATTTTTCAGAGTTCCAATATACTTGTAGTAAATAATGGGGAACTCAAAATAAATAAAGCTAATAAACCTTTTTTTTTTTTTTTTTTTTCAATCAGGCGATGGTGTTGTTGATCTAGGTGCTCAGTTCTGTCATGGAGAAAAGGGAAATGTTGTCTATGAGATGGCTCACCCATTGAATCTCTTAGAATCGTCCAAGACCCTCTATACAAATATGGCTTTTGTTGACTCTGGTGGACAGTTTGTGGACAAGGGTGCAGCTGCATGGCTTCTAGGGATGTGTCTAGCCATTACTGATGAAGCGGGAAAGGACCTAAAATCGTATCCTCATTCTCTTGGAGATTACATCACTTCAGAGTAAATACTGCTATTCATTCCTTCAAGTTTGCTATTAGAAAATTCAAAACACATAACCAAATTTTGCTTCCAGATTTTACAAACGGATTAATGGAGATGCAGCTCCTGAAAATTTGCCCAAATCCTTGTCAGACAATTTCTTAGAATGGTTTCACCGGTTTGAAAATTCTATTGACGGATCAGATTCCTGGTTTGAAACCTCAGGTTCTGGCCACACAGAGTATGTTGAGTGTGATGGAGATCCAGTTTTGGTATGGAAACATGGAGGGTACAAAACCGTGCTGGATCTTTTGATGGTAATTATCGAACATTATTTTAGTTCAAACTTGAAGACAATTTATGAAGACAAGATATGGAGATAATTTAGGAATGTGTGTAGCACACTAGAATTTATTTTTCTGTGAATGAAAAAACTGTTGGTTTTGTTGTTTTTTTTTTCTTTTAGAAAAAAATTCCTAATGCTTCATTAGGTTTACCGTTGGAGTCAAAGGTCATGCTTAAAAAGGAGGTCCTAAATGTCACCTGGGACCATGTGAGAGAAGGAGGTCCTGTTGTGGTCGTCTGTAGAGATGGTTCAGAGTACCATGCTGACCGCGCTATCATAACTGTATCACTTGGAGTACTTAAGGAACAAGCTCATTCTCTTTTCTCTCCCCCTCTTCCCAAGATAAAGCTGAATGCTATACATGTAAGTGTCTCATTGGACTTAAATGTAATTTTTTAAAAAAATATCTTATCTTAAAGATGGCTCTTTTTGTAAAAAAATGGTATAGGGTCTTTCAATCGGTGCTGTAAACAAAATTTTTCTGAAATTTTCGGACAATTGGTGGCCAGCAGAAACCCATGGATTCAGCTTAATTTGGACACAGACAGACTCTGATAAATTCAGGGAAAAGTATGGGAATAATAAGGTTGGTACTCATTTTATACCCAAAATCATTTTAGGGTTTATATTTTAATAATTTATAACAATCTTTTCAACCAGAAAAAGTCTTGGATTAGAGAAGTATTTGGCTTCTATAAGGACCTGGGACAACCTGGAGTCTTGTGTGGTTGGATTGTAGGACCTGAAGCCCGAACAATGGAGATGTGCTCTGATGAGGAAGTAATTGAGGGATGTGAAGAGTTGCTGAAGAAATTTGTTGGGAATAAGTATTCTGTGCCGAGGATTGAGGCTGTTGCAAGGTATGAAATTTATATCCGATAAGACTAACTACTACAGTATTCTAATTATAATCTTAATTTTTTCCCCTTCTTTTGAATTGATAGATCTTATTGGTTCACCAACCCACACTTCCGTGGCTCATATAGTTTCCGTAGCATGAAAACTGAGCAAATGGGTGTAAATGCAAAACAACTTGCGGAACCTGTGCAAAACAGTAATCAGAAATCAGTATGTATCTAAACAAGAGATTTATTTTCTGCTTTTACTCTATATTCTATTTTATTGGAATGCCTTTATCTTTTCTTCATAGGTGCTGCACTTTGCTGGTGAGGCAACACATGAATACTTTTTCTCTACAGTTCATGGAGCCATTGAAACAGGCTGGAGGGAAGCTGATCTTGTTTTGGAAAGTATCAGGTATGTCTTGTATTTGTGATATTTGTGCTTCATTGTAATTATATGTTGAGCTTACATTGTTTTTTGTTGTATTAGTGGAAACAGGAAGTGCTCTTTATAGCCGGTTTGGCTGGAGTAACATTTCTACATGGAGAAGAGGAATATGACTGAAAAAGTGGCCTGCATCCAAGGTACTCCTGCAAGCTACGATGTAATGTTTCCAATCTAAGATTTGAATCAAAGAGTACATTGTAAAACGTGATATATGTATATGTATAAGTAGTAAACAAATACATGCTCCAAGCTTGTTGGTTTTGTATGTACACGGTAGGCTGCCTTCTAGTTTTCAGTTTTGAAATCCTAAAGGTGGGGTCACAATGGGTCGGTTAACAAAAATTAATCAATCGGTGTCTCGGAGGCTCAGTGCGTGCGAGAATCTTCTGCTCTAAGGCTTGAGAAGTTAACTGAGGAAAACGTAATCTCACTGGGGAGTCGAACCTAGGCCTCTTTACAGGCTCGATCTATAATGGCTCGCATTGAGCTAGTGTTATCCGTCGACCGTCCGACCGACCGTCTGCCACCGACCGAACCATTGTGGGGAAAGACCTTAAGAAACCTTTAAATCTTCAGAAACAAAATAGGACTGTGAGAGCTATACGGTACACAACATTTGAAAAAAAAAAAGAAACTGCATACATGTTCTATAAAATAATATTTATTTGATTGATTGAAAATATGAATGAATGTGGGCAATTCCATAGTGAAGGAAGGGAGCTTACTGTATGAATTGAAGACGTATGGATCATAATCGGGACTCCGATCTGGATCTGACGTGGTCAGGAGATACAGTATCCATGGCACGATTGTCGGATGCCCACTTTTCGCAGTCTCCGTCAGTCTTCTTTCCTCCCTTGGAGCGCAAGACACGCTCCCCGTTGAAGTGCTCCTGCAAGACATCCGGAATGAATGGGGCTGTGGGGGAACTTGAATTGGATCAGCACTCGGCCCGGGTTCGCGTCCTTACCAGGATCTCGTGCAAGGCGTGCCCCTCCGTCTCCGGCAGGTAGAAGTACATGATGACGGTGCCGCTGAGGGCGACGGCGCCGTACAGCCAGAAGGTGCCCGGCAGAGTGAGCTGCTCTTGCAGGAAGAAGAAGGACTTGTTGGCGAAGAAGCCGATGACGTAGCCCGCGCAGCCACTCGCCCCGCTAGCGAAGCCCTTCACGTCGGGCGTGTAGACCTGCAAACAGAGACATCGTGCAGTGCAGGCCCTTGCAATCAGTGGGTCCCCGCCTCTCCGCCACGCAGTACGCACCTCCCCGATGAGCATCCACGGCAGGATGCGGATGCCGGTGTGCGAGATGAAGGCCGAGATGACCAGCGCCGCCATGGGGAGCCACGCGTACGGCCCGCTGGTGTCCGAGTCCGGCAGCGCCTCGCCGACGACGTGCACGTACGTGGCGGCCACCACGAAGCACACGCCCGCGCCCAACGTCGACATGAGTGCCAGCGGCCGCTTGCCCGTGTAGTGCACCAGCGCAACGCACGCCACCGTGCCCGTCAGCTCCACGAGGCCTGCAACAAGAGCCCAGGGTGTGTTGGACAGCTGCACGGTGGGCCAGAAGACCGGTGAGAACAGTCAAAAACCCGGACGCGTTTTGAGCTCCAGAGTCGCTGAATGGGACTCGAACCGAACGTGTGACCCCACCAATGGATTGCTCTCCGAACGAGGAATCCATTGGTGGGGTCACACGCTCGGTTCGAATCCTGTTAGCAACTCTGAAGCTCAAAACGTGTCTAGTTAGCCGCCGATGCCGGTTCTGGCCCACTGTGTGCTGGCTGCTGAGCTGCAGGTGGCGGGGCGAACGTCGGGCCCGAAATGGCTTACGATCATGTGTGATCTAGCCCTTAATGGTAATGACAATGCGAGGTAGGCAGCCACCCCACGCCGCGTGCGTGGCGGCACTGCCCACCCGGGGCTTCGCAGGCGCTCTGCGGTAAAGCTTAGGCTTTTCAACAGGTGGGCTGCGACCGCTAGAGTCCCACAGAGACCGCCACTGTGAGGGCTGGCGCAACACGTCTCCTGCTTCACCCCTTCCCCCTCCGCTGGCGGCTCACCTATGAGCACCGTGGCGTAGTACTTGTTGATGGGCGTGCCGACGGTGGTGAAGATGCTCACCGCGAACGTCTGCAGGGGCGTCATCCCGGACCAGTGGCCGATGAAGAAGGCGTACACGACGAGGGAGAACGGGATGAGGAAGGTGCGTTTCCGCAGCTGCGACAGCGTGGGCAGAGCGGACGGCTTCTTTTCTGTAAACGGGACGACAGTGCGGTTGGGGGAGCAGCTTCATCATGGCAAAACGGCGCAGGCGGCGCCGAAACACTAGACGCGTTTTGAGCTCCAGAGTCGCTAAATGGGACTCGAACCGAGCGTGTGACCCCACCAATGGATTGCTCGTTCGGAGAGCAATCCATGAATGGGGTCACACGATCGGATCGAAGCCCCATTTAGCGACTCTGGAGCTCAAAACGCGTCCAGAGTTTTGGCGGCCTGCCCCGGCCATACTGTGCGGCGCTGAGCTGCCTAACCCGAGCCAGAGCCGGGCCAACTCACCAGTCTGATTGAGCGTGCGCTCCAACAGAGACATCTCGGTGGCCACGTCCTCGGGCTTGGTCCACCCCCGCAGCCAGCACAGGGCGCGGCGGGCGTCCTCGACGCGGCCCTGCCCCATCAGCCAGTGGGGGCTCTCCGGGACGAAGCACAGCGAGATGACGGCCGCCACCGGGGCGATGATGTTGACCAGCGCCACTGTGCGCCAGTCGAGCACGGATCCCAGACTGCGGAAACAAGTAGCAGGTAGAATTACGCGCCTTGAGGTCGTGTCACCAGGACACAGCGGATTTGCCAGAAGACCAGTGGAGGCGGTCAAAATCCCGGACGCGTTTTGAGCTCTAGAGTCGCTGAATGGGACTCTACACGAGCGTGTGACCCCATCAACGGATTGGTCTCCGAAGGAGTAATCCATTGGTTGGGTCACACGTTTGGTTCGAGTCCTGTTAAGCGGCTCTGGAGCTCAAAACGCATGTAGAGTTTCGGCCGCCTGCGCCGGTCTTCTGGCCCACTGTGCAGGACTTGTTCGTTCGGCAGGGGGCTGTGGGGGCTAAGGATCCTGGATCCTTCCTGCTTCCATGTCCGTCCAAACCCTGACCTGCCGGCCGTGCCGCTGACCTGAAGTCGATGAAGAGGCCGAGGATGAGCACGGCCGTGGTGGACGCCGACATGGCGCCGCGAAGGTGGGGCTCGGCGATCTCGGCGATGTAGGTGAGGACGGGGGCCTCGAGCAGGCCGCCGCCGAAGCCGCACGCCGCCTGGGCCAGGTAGAGCACGGGGACGCTCTCGGCCATGTAGAAGACGAGGTAGCCCACCACGAAGCAGAAGTTGACGGCGATCATGGCGGGCCGGCGGCCCCAGGGCGTGGCGAACGGCCCCGACACGATGCCGCCCACCGCCACCATGATCCAGTTGATGCTGCCTGGAACGAACGGCCGCACTTCGTCTTTCCGTTGCACCCACAGTGACTACTCTCCACCGTCCAAATGTGTTCCTTACCGAACCATGATATTTGGGGCTTGGAGAGGGTGACGGAGGCCGTCTGGTTCGTCGCGTTGCCCGCTTGTGCCTCCAGGGCGGGGATGGCGATGGTGACGAAACCCAGCGACATGCCGTAGCTCAACAGGATCATGTTCTTAGCCGAACATGCCAGCAGCTACCATACAAGAAGTAAAGTAAAATCGTAAAGCGATGGGAAACAAAAGATAAATAAATAAAAGAAATATCGTAGTAACCATGAGCTTTTACCTGTGGCAGAGCACGCCGAAATGTCTTGGGCCCATCCGCGTCCTGTGCCTTGTCGCTTTTTTCAGTCTGTGAGGCTTCATAACTGAAAAATAAAGACAAAACAAGCTTTTTTTAAAACTCAGCCAAACCACAGAAAGACTCGGCGCCAGGCAGGCCCAAGAGTAAATAACTGCTACGAGAGAAAATAATGGGATTCCCTTCTTGGGCAAGAGCAAACGGGGCCCGCCTGTTTACACTGAACACGCGGCTTTTGGCAGTGTGTTGAAAAGTTTCAATTGCCGTATGATTGTGCTCGTGATGGTGGTGCGATGCTGGTCGGAACGTGCCGCTCCGCAACGCGCGAGCTGCAAAAGCACGGGTAAAAGTGGATTCCACAAATTGTTGTCGACCGTGTGCTCTGGGAGCGGCCGCTTTCGAAGGACCCGCGAGAAGACCTATGGGTCTCCGCGGCCTTCTTCGCGGAGCAAAAATGTGCTCTATCCCGCCGCGGTGGCATCGCGGCATCCGTACAGTAAGGGAGAGTGGGGCACCTCCTGCCAGGGGCACCTCCTGCCAAAGTGCTGTGGGGGGCAAACCACTCGCACTGTTGAGCAGCCAATTTGGTTAAATCAAGGTATGACCATATGCACCTCAATGCCAAAAAGTGGTTACGGTCAGATTAAAATTGTAGCCCTAGTGTGAAATCAAACTTTAAAAGATAAGATTTCGAGCACTTCTCTGACATTTTGACTATAATGTGTCCTCTGACAGTCACTTCCAATGTTCGGGTATCAAAAAATGGTTTTCCTGTCCGATAGTTGGTATTTTTAAGAGCATTTTGCAACATTGGGATGACATCAGCGCTGCACCGATAAAGTGTTGAGGCCAATTTTCTCTCATGCATGGCGTGGGGCACCTACTGCCACTTTTGGCTGGGGCAGGTACTGTCACCTTCAAATCCCTTAATTGGCAAAAAAATTTCATGCCAGACTGAGTTCATGTTTAGTTGAGGGCACCAGTATGATATCGGGGAACAAGTAACGTGAATATGAGTGGGATAATACCTGTTTTGACATTGCAACAGCTTTGATTTTCAAATAACCACGTTTGGGTTGACCTTTCTACCGCAGCACCACTGAGCATATATTTGAACAGCTCCAAATCGACGAGAAGCTCGTCTTTCTGACCAGTAATGATTTTATCACCATAAAATGATCAATTGGCCACAAAATTTATGTTCAAGGACCATCCACTCTCCCAGGGAATACTCGCCCCGCCCCTTGGCAGGAGGTGCCCCTGTCCCTGGCAGTAGGTGCCCCGGGCCGGGGCACCTACTGCCAATTGCAGAGGTGCTTAGAGTAGGAGATAACTCTACATAAACGTGACATATTTTAGTTTCTATCAACGGGTTATTGTAGATTAAGGACCAATGAAGTTTTCTGACTACACATATTCGTCACCAAGTAGAAACTACGCAAACCAGAGACAAAATCCAAAAAGTGGCAGGAGGTGCCCCACTCTCCCTTACACTGTTCGAAATTCTGCCGGCGGCAAGTCCAGGCAAAGAGAAAGTCTGCCCCCAGAGGCACTCTCAACGTAAACATCACGTTGAAGCGAATTTTTGACAAAATTGTGACGCTCCTATCAACATTGTGTCACATTCGTTTGAATGTTAATCAGCCATGGATAAGCTCATTCACTCTTCAGCGAATGTGACCCAATGCTCAAAGGAACGTGACATTTTGTCACATTCGTTTCCACGTGATGTCACGTTCCTGCTCCGTGGTTCCTAGAATGAGCGTGGGCGCCGGGCGGGCGCACGGTGCGCTTGGCTTGATAGCGGTGTTCCCGCGAATGCTAAGCCAGCAAAATTTTAAACACTGTCAAGTTTGAGGAAAACGATCTAAAAGGATTAAAACTGTGAGGAAAAATTTCCTTTAATATTTTTTGTCGACTTTTTTTTATGTTTGTAATGATAATTACTGGATAGGGAAGTCCAGCAGAACGGCTGTGTTCGGGCGCACGGCCACTCCACCACAAAAGACGAACACATTTACGATGGCGTTGTGGCCGTCGGCATGCCGTCGGCCGGCAATAGCCCACTATGATTACGCGAAGCACCTGCCGTCGAGTGGAGCGGCAGGCCTGCCGGCCACCAAAAATGCAAACTTGAGCGCGTAGCCGCGTAGCTCACTTTGCCGACATTGCCGTCATCATAATGCTCTTAGTCCGACCTCCACTTGGCCCGACTCGGCTCGGCTCGCTCGCACCCCGCCGGCCCGCCAGTGGCCCGCCACAGTCGTCTGATGCCGAAAAGTGCTTCATCGCCCCGTCTCTCTCGCTCGCACTACACGGAGCGCCGCACGAGTGCGAGTGAGACAGAGCGACGAGAGCAGTTCGGAATCGGCCCGCTGTTCTGGCCCGCTGGTTCGCGTGTGACGAGCTGATGTTCCGCGGATGGTTCGCAGGACAGCGTGACACACCACACTGCAGGCCTTCCGCGGCGTCCCACGGCGTCCCACACAGTAAAAAAAGATTCGCTGTTTTGGTGGTCGTTCTATATCCAATCTCACCGAAACGGGTACCCCCACAAACCCGGCGACGGTCCGTCACCAAAACGGTGACCTGCGTCACCATGTGGTGTTCCGCCAGAGAGGTTAGGATGACCACAACAACTGTTTTTGAGCTGTCTGTGCATATTTGTGCGTGCCCGCCGGCAATGTTACGCTTTGATGAGTCACGCGAATGATTACTGACAGCCCCTGACTTGTTTTGTGTCCTATTTCACATTAATACGACGATTAAAAGTCGCTGGCGGGAGGGTGACTGCAGTGCCGTTCTGGTGAGGTGGCTGCTCCGGAACGGACCGAGCGCCACCGAAACTAGACCGAGCGTCGCCGAAACGAACAGAGGGCCGCCAGAACAGTTTGAGGGTGTCGCTGTTCTTGTAATATTCTCGTTTTGGCGCCCAGACGTCACCGAATCGGCGAATCTTTTTTTACTGTGCACGACCGCCATCGCGGACGACGACGGCCGTCTGGCCGCGAAGCACCGCGAAGCACCGCCAAGCCGCGACCACGTGGCCGTCGTGGCTCCGGCCTGCGCGTCAACCCGATAAATTACCTCCATTTTTGTTCTGAGGATCTGAGAACGAAACAACAAAGTAAACGCAGAGCAAGGCCGCGGCACAGAGCGGTCCGGGTCCGGGCCCCCAATTTCGCACAGACCGCGGTCGCAGTCGGAAAGTGCACAAGTGCACCGGGGAGCGTCGTCGGTCTGCGATAGCGCGCCGACAAAATCAAGCATCCCTGGCGGGGATCGAACCCGCGACCTTCGGATTAGAAGTCCGACGCGCTATCCTCTGCGCTACAGGGACAGATAAGGAAGTGCGTGCCCGTAACGAGGCTGGTGTCGCGCGGCCCGTTTGGGAAACCCGAACGGACCCGAAGAGGAGTGTCCCCCCCCCCTCTCTGCCCCCTCCCCCGGAGAGGTCGGGGTCTAGCGCTTCCGGGGGACCCCCTCGCTGCCCCTCGCTGCCCCTCGCTGCCGCTGCGGCGATAAGGAGCGGCGGAATACAGCCGGCCAATCTACCGATTATCGAAGTACGAAAGAACGAGAGCTCGCAACGAGGTGTGTGCGTCTGAGCGCGCGCGCTTGTGGATGACATGTGGGTTAGCAGGTCTCGGAATATAAAACCTTCTTTCGACCACCCAGGACGTTCGATTTGGAGGCGTGGGTAATGTATTCCCATTTACTTCCGAAGCACCAGCAGTTAGCATGCTAACGAACAGGGCCGACCACCTCCGAACCTACGAGTCGTCCGTTCGTGCGAGCGATGCCAACCCACTGCTGCGAGCGCAGCAAGTGTAAAAGTTCCATTTGGCCTTTATCCTGCAGCGTGATGATGATTGGGCTCGCCGACGCCATCCTGGGCAGCCGGCCGGTCCAAGGAGTCCACGGAAGGGAGTGCGTGCCGCGTGGACCTGGCCGTCCTGGACGTCCTGGCTGCCATGCCGTGACGTCGCCACTGAACGGGGAGCTGGACCAGGCCGGCCGGGCCGCACCGCAATAGGGAGATTGCCGCTAATCCTAAAACATTGGGCCGACCCGAAGCAGAGGCGAAGCAGCAGCAGCAGCAGCACGTCTCCCCTCATCTCGACCAATCTAGCGGTAAGCGTCTACACGAGACCTCCGCCCCGCGCCGCCCCGCCCCGCGCGGCTGGCGGTGGCCGTGTCGTCCACGTCGTCCATCAACATGAAATCACTGCACGCGACACTAAACGATCACAGGGCGGGCGTGGCGTGGCGGCGCGTGGCGGCGCGGCCGCGAACTGTTTCCGCGTCCTGCCGCGCGAGCCGCGAGGGCCGCGAGCGACTGGAGACTGTATGACGCACGCGTGCCCTGCCGCCCGGATTTCGATCGAGCCTATCTACCATCGGAAACCAAAACGCCAGCTGGCGCCACCCGGCGGCTGCATCGTGCCGACGCCGCACGCAGACTTGGCAAGTAGTGCGGCACGGGCGTGCTTTAGGGTGGCGTGCCGTGGCGTGTTTTCGTTTTTCGGGACGCGGCCACGCGGCCGGCCGCGCGTTCACGTTGACGCTGCTGACGCGGCGTTTAGTCAATCCGTGGCCGCGCATGGATAGAGGCAATATAAGCCGCGCGGCGTGCCAAACTCCCCGCGGAGGCCGACGAGGGGCTCTCGCCGGTGCCGCAGGCTGCCGCAGGCCAGGTCGCCGCCAGCGCCGGGCGCCGCCAGGTCAGGTGTGCGCGAAGTATGTCGCGAGGCGGGGCTGGGCGGGGCTAGGCGGGGCTAGGTGGGGTGATCGCCACGGTGGCAGCGCGCGGGGCGCGGGGTTACGCGCCCGAACAGGTCTCGGGACGGGTCTAGGCCAAGCAAAGGTCACGACCATCCACGGCCTCGGCCTTACTCGAGGCCTCACTTGACCACAGCGCTACTACAGTGTCGCGGGACGTATCTAATCTGCCCCCGGGCCCCGGACTGGACGCGGAATCACACGCGACACGCGCCTCTGCAAAAGCAGCAAAAGGAAAGTCGGATCATTGCGCTCGGCTTACTAGTGTGCGCGCACCGCCTCGGCACCGCCGCTCCGATGCTGCCGATGCAGGCGGTGAGTAAACCCGGCAAGCGTCCGCCGCGAGACTCGGCTGTCTCGACTCGCGAGATGAGATACGGACTTACGCCCAGCCAGGCTGATTCCGAGAGTCCTTTTCGTCGCTCTGTCTCTCTCGCACTCATGGGGCGCCCCGCACAGGTGCGAGAGAGACGGAGCGACTCGGAATCAGCCTGCAGGGATGGCAATTGGGGCCGCCAGATAAGCCAAGCCGCCCTTACGGCCTAACGGCCAGCATCGCGTCCAGCATCGCGGCCGGCAAATCCTGGTCCACGTTCGCGGCGCACCTGCCTATAATTGCTGTGTGTGTGTACACTGGACGCAGTGAAGGCGCGCTTGCACCGCGATTCGCGATCGCTGTAAGCTTATTCGTACTACATTATCCGCGTTCGGTTCGCGAAAGCCTTACTACAAAGTGCGCGTAGACGCGCACGCTGTGGTGGCGGAGGGACGGGCCCCAAGGGAGCTCACTGAGCTCACCCGGTGGCGGCCTGGCCGAGGCCTGGCGGGGCGTCTAAGCTGGGCTAAGCTCCCTCCCCTCGGCGGGAGCAGGACATCTTGGAAAAGCACTTTTACTCTCATCGGTGAACACAATGCATGCCAGCGGTTTCGGTTTGTTGTTGTCGTTTACTCTCGCCTACACTGCGAGGTGCAGCAGTGGCAGCAGGGTGCATACCGCGGGCAGGTATGCAGGCAGTATCGCGGACTGCAGCGTGTTGGTCGGTAAATCAGTGACTCGGAGAAACGTTGCAGTCCAGAGGTAGCTGCTCATTTTATTGCTTACAGTGCGGCGTGGTCACTTGAGGACTTCCCCCGCCCTGCCCAGCCGGCCGCGCAATCCGCGCGCAAGGCAAGGAAGACTCGCGGGACCCGCGCCCCTTGCCGCGCCCCTTGCCGCGCCCCGCGAACGAGAATGTCGTCAAGGCTTGCAGTGGTTTGCAGCAATGCAGCGCCGGCGCCGTGCCCGCCTGCAGTGGCCTACAGTGGCCGTGCCTGTCGTGCCTGCCGCGTCGCGCGGACTTCAAGGTGCTGGCGGACTTTGAATGCGATCCACAAGGCGCCGAGAGCGCCGCGCCGAGGCACCGCACAGCCTTTCTCTCGGGTTCAATGTCTCTCCATCCGTAAAATAAAAATGTTTTCACGCTGCATTTGCTTTACGTTTATTTGCGATGATTAACCGACCGCTTCTCTCCTCTCCGGCCGCCAAACGAACACCGCCGCCGCCGCCCTCACCTGTTTGAGGAGAGTTTCCGCAGGGAAGTACACCCACCCCGCCCCAGCGTCCCCCAGCAATGAAAGCATTCCACCTGTCCGGGCGTCTCCCCCACCGTCATCTGCGGAGTGACAGAGACGGAAGGCTCGCGTGCTTCGCGTGCGGTGTTTTCGGACGCGCCGTGAGGTTAGTCCGCGGGTTAGTCCCCGTCCCGGTCCCGGAACTCACACGCACACGACACGACCCCACTGGCCCGAACCAGCTAGACTGGGCGCCGCCGTTGGGCCGCGTTGTCGCGGTCACAATGACATCAGTTACTCACCTGGCGGCGCTCTTGGTGCCGTTTCGGTCGCCGTTTCGGTCGCCATTCCGCTGGGCCGAGTGGCCGTTGCTGCCGTTGCTGGACGTCCGGTTGTTGTGCTGCTCCATGGTGGACGGCGTGGCGCTGCGCGGCGGCCGGCCGGTGTGCCGGAGGTGCCGGTAGGTCGGGTACCGGGCGGCGGGGAGGTGGCCGTGGCCGTCCCGGTGGCTGGAAAGGGAAAGTTCGGCTCCGCGCCGCGCCGCTCCGCGCGGAAGACCCTCCAGGCGCCGCTTGCCGCCTGTCAAGCGAGGCAGTAAGGCACCCTGCCCTCGTCCACCTCGTCCTCGTCGAACTGACACGCCGGCCAACGTCCCTTCACTTTCCAAATCACCGAAGAAGAAGAGAGGACGCCGCCCGCTTGGCGCGCTGGCCGCACCGTGGTTCCAGCTAGGGCTCCAGCTCCACGCTCCTCGCCGCCGCACGAGGGAATGTCACCGAGTCCTGCCTGCGCCCTGCGCCCGTGTCCCGGTCCCTGCCTGCCAGGATGGTCGCCGTCGTCGGGAGGGAGGACGTCCGTCGGGGTGGCGGCCGACGTCGCGGTGGTCAGGCCGGCGTCATCGGCCTCGGGGCCAGCTGCTCCAGCGGGCGCGCTGTGACACCCAGAGCGCTGCTGGGGCTCCAGGCTCCAGGCAGCTCCAGCACTACTGACTCGGCTCCGGCGCCACAGGCGCCACTCGGTACCCGGACCACTCGCAGCTACTCGCAGCGCCGCGCGTCGCTGCTCAACCTGCTGGGCGTCGGCGCGGCGGCGAACTGGCGGGGCCGCGGAGGCCGCGAGGTCTGCGCTGCGGCGAGGCTCCCTGACTCCCTACTACTGGCCGTAGTACCGCAACGCACTGGCAGCATGGAGACCTGGCACCGGGCCGCCGCCGGGCCGGGGGTGTAAACGTCGCGACACTTCACACGGCTCCACCAAACTTGGACATGACATCTTGACGAGCTTTGTTTTCCCGCTCCTGACATATCCACCGCAAACGGACACACAGCGTGCATAACTAAAGTCACAAAAACACAATGCATTCTAAAAGGTGGGCAGTATTTTGCGGTTGCACCGCGCGGAACCAAGGTGCCTTGGAGGACCCTTCCCTCCACTGCCGCCACCTGGAACGCCTGGGAGGTAGGCAACACATCCTGCGGCCATGCATCATCATGACACCTTGACTTGACTTGAAAGGTTGCCAATAGGGGTAGAGCCCTACTGTGATGTAGGGCTCTAATTAGTGGGTGACCCAACAAGTACAAAACAAGGCGAGGCGAATTAAAAAAATCGACATTTTATTGGAAAAACAAAAGTTTTGACAAGAAAATGTGCAAAGGGTTATTTTCCTAATATAAAAAGAGCTCAAAAAATTCTTTAACATACAATTAGAATATCCGGAATGCCTTGATATGCACTGGCAAGTGAACACGTACCCTGAAGCCTTGCATCAAGTCATAAAAAACATACAAAATCACATAGTTTGCATTATTCTATTTAGAACTGGAAAGCAGTTGCAGAAGGATTGCGATAAGTGCTGCTACCAGAGCACCAATGCATATAAAAATAACGTAACTGGTCTTCTCTTGAGATGGTGCTGCATCTAGCCTAGACTTGTCACTTGGCTCAATTCCACTCCACTCTAGCCCCACTCCACTATCTGAAAAGAGACAAGCAAACAATAGGAGCTTTTAAACAAGACAATTTTTTTAAATGCGTCATCAAGCTTAAATGAAAGGCATCCTACCTGCCGATATTTCAACATCCTTTTCTACATCTTCCAACTCCAGCTTCAGGTCTAACAACTCTTCTGCAGACACAAGAGCCTCCTCTGGTCCCTCACCAGGGAAAATATAATCTGAGAATGTTACATTGGTAGAAGGCAGCTTGATCATAACTCTCCTTGGTGGATCATGTAAAGTCTCTTGGTCTTCAAAAATAATGTTAAAAGTACAAAGATTAAGTAAGAGTTTATAAAAGCAGGGTGACAACCAAAATACAATAAATTATTAGTACCTTCAGGTGGGTCTTCCTCAACAAGTGAGTCTGCATGCATATGCAACCGTGTTGCAATTGATCTCATAATATCCTGTTTCACAGCCTGCACAAACACAAATTGCATTTAAAGAGGAATCATTTTTAAGTAGTTTTTAAAAAATCCTCGCAATGATTAAAAAAAAAAATCAAAGCCTTACTTTGCAAGCTTCATCAACAGTTGCTTTCTGGTGAACAAACACTCGGCTCACAGGGCTGCCAGTGAAATTCATTATTCCAGCTCCCTTGTTCAATTTCACTCCGGATGGGGTCTTTATATCTACTCCTCCAACCTGATAAATGAGTAAGAAAAATTCAAAAGCGATTTAGAAAGAGCAAGTTTTAAATGGCTTTAGAATGTTCTCTTCTCTGTGCGCTCCAGAAAAGAAAACACAAGAGAAAATTACCATGGGCATGTATAAACTGGCAGAAAGAATATAAGGTTCATCACCACTGCCCTTTGCATTCTTTTTCTTGGAGGATTTGCCCTTTTGGTTCTTGAAGATATTTTCAACCAAATCTTCAGGGTCCATGAGTTCATCAGACAGAGTGCACACTGATTCATTGATTTGGCCATTAACTGCTTTGACCAGAGCCTAGGATGAAAGAGAGGGGATGAAGACCAATGGGAATAATATTTTCATATGAGATGGCTAAGATAGCCAAACACTCAAAGTACCTCCAGTTGGTTCCTTAGTTGTTTTGAAGATTCTTCTTGGCTTAGGTGCTTTACGTAGTTAAGATCTAAAATACACTCAATTTGATTCCAAACAACAGGATTTTTTTGGAACTTCCAGTCAATTGGACGAATGCCTGAACCATCAAGGTCTACTGATCGACAGGCTACCCTGAATTAATTAAATTAGGGACTCAGTAAATTTAGAAAGTTTATCACAGACATAAATGATAAGAATTAAAACATAAAACCTTATTAAGAACTTACAAATTCTTTTGAATGTTCAAATGAAGTATAAGTTTCTCAGATGATGGACTGTCACCGTATAGAGAATTCTTTTGAAGTTCAGTTCGAACATGCCTCAGAATAGAGCGTAGGCGTGAAGCGTTCTGTTGACTTTCGAATGGATCATTTTGTCCAATTAGAAAAAGTCCTAGGACCCACATACCTCCAGGTAACATTCTTGTAACCTAGAAGAAAAAATACATTTAATATTGAAGTACTTCAAACTCAGAGCCTTAACTTAAACTTTCATGAGTAATCACAACACTTACATCACAGGCATGGTTAGCAACCCACGATTCCTTTATTTCTGGCAACAATAAACCTTTCGCAGTTTTGGGCTTCTGTTCATCATCCTTTTCATCCTTCGAACTGTCTGGAGGAGGTATGCGCGCCAGATGAACGACATAATCAATTGCTTTCGAACACTAAGGACCAAAACATGCATAATTAGATGAGTGACATATGCTAGTATTTGGATAATAAATGTTGTCAAAGAAAAATGACGACATGGGGAAATAATGTTTAGTTACTGATCAATTAATATTATTTCAATGGAAAAATTTCACTGCTCAACAGACTAATCTGCTGACACAAAATTTTCTTCAAAAGAAATGTTGACAGTAATGAAACTAACCTGTCCCAAAACGAGTCCAATGACGTATCCTTTGGCAGGGCTATATTGTTTACAGTACGACCAAAGTTGTTCATCCGCCACTACAGATTTACCCATGATGAAGTTCAAGTCATTCAATAAATAAAACAAAATAGGAAAAGAACTTGCACCAAATGTCAACACAGCAACACGGTCAACACGTAGCAGAAGCAGAACAAGTTAAAGGGAGAACAAAAGACGATTCATAGAAGAAACAAATGAATGAAGACGAATCAAAGAAGTACCTGTGAAGAAGAAACAGGAGGACGTAAACAAGCCAAGAAATGAAGCAGAAGCAGAAGTTCAAGAAATTTTGATAGTTTTGCAGACCTCTGTCTAGCTTGAGATCTTTCTTAAAAGTAAAAAGAAATATCTATTTTATTCGGTTGAAGTGTTATTTGCTGTCATGAAATCCAAACTTGACTGTGTGCATTGTGATAAAACGTTTTCTACCTCCTCAAACTTACTGAGACACCACAGAAAAGTTCACAAACTAGAATCTGACACATCTAAGAAAATTTGTCAATGTGATCTATGTGGGAGAAGATTCTCAAGTGTACCCTGTTTAAGACGGCACCAAAGAGATAAACATGCAATCATCAATCTAGTGAAATGTGACAAGTAAGTGAAATGATTCATTGGTTATCATTTGAATCTGTTTGAAAGTAAGGGCCAATATATTTTGTTTACCAGGTGTAAAAGTAGTTTCCGATCCACTACAAAATATGATGCACATTTGCAGTCATGCCATTTGGTGAAAGCAGTGAAAAATACACTTATCGAAGCCCACCCCACACACTCTGCGGAAAGCACGAAGGAATCTTCCGAGAATTCCTTAGGAAAACAAGGTTTGTCAGGGCTAAACTTCAGTTAAAATTTTAAGAGTACTCATATGTGTTTCCAATATATAATCCATTATTTGTACTTGCAGATGGCCTAGTAGTAGATTGTGATGTGAAGAAACAGGAAGGAAGTTTGGAAATTTCTGAAAATCAGCAACCTTCTGTATCTACAAACCACAGGTAAAGCAAATCTAACTACACTCGTATTTTTAATTATCTTATAATGAATACTTTCACCTCTTAAATAAAATATTCAATTTTCAGGGATGCAATTGCATGTAAAAAGTGTTTGCTGACTTTCAAAAGAAAGTCATATTTATTTGCTCATGTCATCAAATGCAAGGGGCCAAAAAAATTAAAAACATGTCCCATATCTGATGGCTGCCATTTCAAATACAGACTGAACAGTACCCTTAGAACACATTTGAAGAGTGTTCATGACTGTGATTTTGAGCCGGAGATGCAGTGCAAGAAATGTTTGCTCACTTTCGTGCGGCCAAGTACTCTAAGTGAACACGTTAAAATGTGCAAAGGGCCACCTAGTAAAAAGTTGTTGACATGTCCTGTTTCTACTGATTGCCATTTCAGAGCTCGATTTAAACATACAATTACGTTACATTTGAAAAAAATGCACAATTTTGACATTGATCCGCCACGTGAGATGAAATTTAGAAACTGGGATGAATTCATGGCATGGAAGAAGAAAGAAGAAGAATCATCTGGGTTTTGTTTTACCAGCCAATCAGGCATGAAGAATGGTAAGAGCTTCTTCTATTGTCAAAAGGATGGTACTGACAAACCTCATACAAGCATGCCCCGCAAAACAAAGAGAACTTTAAAGAAAGGACGGGTAAAAACTGGTGCTTTCTGTAGTGCTTACATCCGGTTCACTATTAATAGTGATGATACAGTTTCTGTGAGATACATTCCTACACATTCTCATCTAGTGGAAAACATTGCGGATGAAGTCAGCTCTACAAACAATGATCAGGACACTATGGAAGCCATATGTGACACAGAACTGGAACCGGGAGTTGATGTTGAAGGTGCAGAAATTTTTTTACCAAATGTGAACTGTGAAATGGGTGCTGATGAAGCTGTTCCTGAGGTCAGTGCAGATATAACGATTGCCTCAATTACAGCTACCGAAGCTAATAAAAGTTTCGGATTCAAGGTCCATGAAGATGAAATGGTTACTGTTCTTTATCTGACCTCAGAGTCTGAGGAGTTACCTGAAGGCATCTTTGAATATGTAAATTCCACCACGTCCGATGGCATTCATGACACAGCTGTAATTGAAATTGACTCTGCAGACACTCTTTGCTCAGAAATGTTTGTTATGGATGATACAACTTCAAACAAGAGTAACTGTGCTGACGAGTCAACTGTAGCTGCTGTAATAGAAATAAGTAATTCCCAACCTGCCAATTCTGAGGTGGCTCCCACCCCTGATAAAACAATTTGGAGAGAAAAAATTAAGTCAGCAACAGAGGACATATTAACTTTGTTAGAAAATGACGCTGTGGAAGAGAGGGTATTGTCTTCCGTTCTGCAGTCTTTACAAACGTGTAGAAACCAAATAAAAGGTGAAATAAATTCTTCAACACCCTAACAAAAAATTGTAATCAAAATATACAAAATAAATATTTTTTTATTGAACAGTGAAGTTTTTGTGCCTGTTAACTTCCCGCCATCCCTTTCCAAAGAGCGAAAACTTGCTGCACTGCGCCACGCTGAAATAAATTTCTCACTCAGAAGCAGCAGCCCAGCGGACACGCCTGCTGGTTGGGTGGCCTACCCGCACGGCGGCGTTCTTCATCCGGCCGCGCGCTGAGGCTGCGCGGTAGCGAGGCGCAAACCGCACCCGCGGCGCCGAGTAAGTCGGCGAAGTCGGTTACGCCGAGCTGGGCCTGAGCGCGGAGCGGAGTGTGCATTTGCGTGAGGAGTGGGCAGCGAGCACGTGCATGCATGTTTGGGGTCAGCAGCCTTGCATGGGATTCGCTGAGCGCCTCGCCGAGACGCGGACGGGACGCGGACGGGACGCGGCGGTCGTGGCTGGAGGAGCACGGAGCATGGCGCCTGCCTGCACTGCATGGAAGGAGCGCTCTGCCAACCTCGAGAAGGCTGTCGCCATGGCCAACACCACTGTGCTACCAATGTAGCCCCTTGAAAATAAAAATTTAAATCAAAATAAATTTTGCAGTTCTGGCAGGAGGAAACACAGAAGTCAAACAGTGAAAATGCGACCTTTTTTCGGTCAATCTGTAAATACGTTGTAAGCTTATTCTGTCAGGTAGTTTTCGGCGCTGCCTTGTCAAACGCGACTGTCACAAAGCCACCACTAAGGAGGGCTTGGTCTAGTGTGTGAGTGCCCATGAGGTGAGGCCAGCCGTCACCGTCGCTCCGCGGCAAGGCTCGGCAAGGCGAGGCTAGGCGCGCCTTGCGACCGTGAAGTCGACACCACCCCGCCGGGCCGGGCCGGGCCGGGCCCTGATCCGCTCCGGACACCCACACCTACAGGAACACGCTAATCCTAGTCGGTAACCAGCACCTGTCCGATCAGTCCGATCCGTTCGGTTCCGAATCACACCATCCAGGGACGAACGGCACACCGTGGCACACCGCCATGCCGCAGTCCACACCCTCAGCAGGCGCAGCATTCACGTTTTCCAAATTCCAAAATTTCCGAAAATGTTTGTTTTGTAGAGTTTATGGACCGTTTCGCAAGACTGCACCGACACCCGGTCAAGATCAGAGCTCAGAGCACACATTAAAAGATCGCACGGCACATGAGGAGGGAAGCTGATTACAAGGAAGGCTTCTTGTTTTTTTTGCTGCGCCATCACTGGGCTTTAATAACTTGGCTGTGCGTCGTTGCCGCCGCTCGGATGGTACGCTCGATTCCCTTTTACCTCTCATTCCGCGAGTCATATTTCTTCCCTGATTACTACTGCCTGCTCCCTTCCCTTCCCCGTTTGGAAACGATGCCAAGTTCAGCCGGCGCCGCCACGCCGCCGTCCCTCGCAGCGCTAAGTGCACGCACGAAGCCCGAAGGCCCATTGCCGCACTGGCCGGCCCGGGCATGCTCATGCCCATGCCCATCCCGACCAGCCCAGCCGGACGATTAAACCGAAACATTGGAAAGAGACTCGCGAGATAAGGAGCCTCGCACGCCGGCAGGCCGACTGCGAACAGCTGTTCCGTCGCCCTGTCTCTGTCGCACTCATGGTGCGCCCTGTAGGCCCGTAGAGGTGCGAGAGAGACAGAGCGACTGTTTGGCGTCGGCCGGCCGACAGTCCGAGGCGTACCCAGTCATTAAAGGTCGGAGGGCCTTGCGTTTGCCTTTGCCTTTGCCTTTGCCTCATTGCCTCGCACGGCAGTGGCGTGGCAGTGCCGTGGCAGTGGCGTGGCAGTGCCGGCATCCTTCCCTTCGGTTTGGATGGCTCGGCCGGCGCGGCCCTAAGGCGGTCTCGGACAGAGTGCTGCGAAGGACGCGACGCGGCGCCCGGCACGCGGCCTGCACGCGGCACGCGGCCTGCACGCGGCCAGGTGGCCGAACACGCGGAACACGCGGAAGGACGAGGACCGCGCCGAACCGCGCCTCCGGCAGTCCGCGGCGCCGCGCCGCCACCAAGCCCACCAAGCCCACCCACTTAACAGACTTGCCCGAATTAAAGGCGCCGTGTGTGTTCCGAGTCGTTCCCAGTGCACCGCCAACTGGGCCACGGCTTCGCCTTCGCCTTCGCCTTCGCTCCGCCCGAAGGCAGCCGACGGCGGCCGAAGGAAGGCCGTGGTCCTTCCCTTGGCGCTTCCCCGAGCGGCGAGCGGTGAAATCGGGATGTCGCGCGTCGCCTTGCCTCGCCTTGCCGCGTGCCGACGGCGTGGTCACTTCGGTGCCGGACAGGCGGTGCAGTGGCGGTACGCGGTACGCGGTGCGCTGGCGGCGCGGCGACCCCGGCCCTTGTTCGGCCCCGCGGCGCGGCGGCATGGTGCGGAGGCCAGGGATGCCTCTGCGGCTGTGCCTGGCTCTGCGGCTCTGCGGCTAGAGCCACACATTACCATAGAAAGGGTGCGGCGGCTCGCAGGCGCACCGGGTGCGACGGAGACAGCGACAGAGACCGGCGTCGAGGAAGAAAACGCGGCGCCCTCGCCTGACCGGCCCGTCGGAAAACACCGACCGCTCACAGTGGACCAGAAGACCGCTGGAGGCGGCCGTCTTTCTACACGCGTTTTGAGCTTCAGAGTCGCTAAATGGGACTCGAACCGAACGTGTGACCCCACTAATGGATTGCTCAGCGAACGAGGAATCCAATGGTGGGGTCACACGTTCGGTTCGAGTCGCATTTAGCGACTCTGGAGCTCAAAACCCGTCCGGGATTTGGGCCGCCTCCGCGGTGTTCTGACCCACTGTGGGCCACGCTGCAGTAAAGGATCTCGGCTGCCTACCCGCCCGGCGCGGCGAGGCGCGGCCGGAACGGGACGTGCCGCACGCCGCGCGAGGCGGATCAGGGAGGCGACAGCGAGGCAACGCGCGCGGAAAGAAAAGCCAAAGCGTCCGGCATGGCGGTCAGGCGCGGACGGCGGACCGGCCGCGGACGAGGGTGTCGACCTTCGCGGCGGGACGCGGCGCGGCGCGGCGCTTCGGCCTGGCCAAGTTATGCGCCCCGCCAGCAGGCTGATTCCGAGAGTCGCTTTCGTCGCTCTGTCTCCCTCGCACTCATGGGGCGTCCCGTGTAGGTGCGAGAGAGACATAGCGACGAAAACGGCTCTCGGAATCAGTCTGCAGGCCGCCTGCAGTCCGCGGGGAACCGGTGGCGCCACCTACGGGTGCCTACCGGCCAGGCCGCCGTCGACCGGACCGCGCTGCCGCGCTGCAGTCGGCGCCCCGCGGACGTCCGTGACGTTGTGGCGGGATAAATGTCACTGCACACACAAAAAAACGCCGGGAACTTGAAATGAGGAAAAGTAGAAAAGTGATGACGTTTTGAACGACTCTCGGTGGCGGCGCTGGGGCGCTGGGGCACTGGCCACTGGCCGCGCCCGCACTGGGGCAGCGGCGCGCGGCGTTCACCGCCACCTTTTCGCGAGGCGGATAACACCGGTGGATATGCACGCCTGTGTCATTACGGCGCACCGGCCTTCACCCAAATACGGCTCCGGTGCGGCGCGCACGCGGACGGACCGACTGGCACGCCACGCCACGCCACGGCGCGGCACGGCACGGCGCGGCACGGCACTCGTGCGCCGCGGGCTGCATCGCGCGGGTGGGGCATTTCGGCGGCGTGACGGAGGCGTGACCCAGCAGGCTGCTTCCGAGAGTCGCCCTCGTCTCTCTGTCTCTCTCACACTCATGGGTCGTTCCGTATCGACGAGAGAGACAGAGCGACGAAAACGACTCTCGGGATGATTCCGAAGCCCCACTTCCGGCGTTCCGCGAACGACGGGCGCCGCGATGAGCTGGCCGCCACGCCGCCACGGAGCCGGCCGCGTAGCAGGTGGCATCCCGGCCGCCCCGTGGAGGCCCGTCCGCGGCCTTCAGGGCCTTCAGGGCTGCCCGCAGCATCTGTTCCCTGGAAGGGGCGGCTGATTCAACGACTCCGCGACTGGCACTGCGTCGCTATAGCACTGGCACGAGATACTGGGTGCCGTATGCCGCGCCACGCAGTGCTACGCAGTGCTATAGTATACGCAGTGGGTGCCAGCAGCAGACCCACGCCAGCAACGCACCGACTCAATGCCGCCGCGCAGCGCGTGTGTCATCGCAGCACAGTGGGCCAGAAGACCGGTGGAGGCGGTCAAAAGTCTAGACGCGTTTTGAGCTCCAGAGTCGCTAGACGGGACTCGAACCGAAAGTGTGACCCCACCAATGGATTCCTCGTTCGGAGAGCAATCCATTGGTGGGGTCACACGTTCGGTTCGAGTCCCATTTGGCGACTCTGGAGCTCAAAACACGTTTAGAGTTTTGGCCGCCTACCGGTCTTCTGGCGCACTGCGAGACGCACTCGCTTGTCCGCGTGCAGGATGCGGGCGCGACTGGCATGACGCTCGTGGCTGCGCCAGGCTTGGCCAGGCTCCGGCGGGCCGGCCTGGAGGGCACGGAGCAGGACGGCGGCGTCTGGGCAGCGCCCGGGCGTCCCTGAACTGACCATGCTGCACGCCGCGGCACGCTGCACGCCGCATGCAGCCAGCGGAACGGGACCGCCGCGCCCCGCCACCCCTTTCACGACGCACTGCGGCGAACTGCAGCCATTTCGGAAGAGTAGTCTCGGCGCTCCGTCTCTCTCGCACCCCCACGAGCGCGACGGGACGGCGAGGCAGAGCCACCCTGCAGCACGCCCACAAACAAAGCGTCATCCATCATGGCGCATCATGGCGATGCGACGGGGCAACGCTTAGCTACGCGTCGCCCGGAGTCAGAGTCGGGCCCGAGCAGCTCGACGATCAGTCAGAGTTGTTGAAGCGTTCGAACTGCTGCAGCAGAGTAACGCCACACGGCACTGTGGGCCCGACAGTGGACTCGAATCATACGTGTGAGGGTGCAGGGGGTTTCCCGCCGAAAGAGGAATCCGTAGATACTCTCATGGGGCTGAATCAAGTCCCATTCGTGGAATCCACAGAATTATTGAAAACGATCCAGTGTAATGTCCACCAGTGCTCGG